CCAACGTGCCAGCCGGGCTCTCAAGAGCTGAAATCTTTCCTGTGCGGGGAGGCTGCAAATGGTTTTTGAAGTGAAGGAGCAGATAGAGATCTGAAAATCTCCCTTCCTTCCTTCTTTCTTTCTTTCTTTCTTTCTTTCTTTCTTTCTTTCTTTCTTTCTTTCTTTCTTTCTTTCTTTCTTTCTTTCTTTCTTTCTTCTTCCTTCCTTCCTCTTCCTTCCTTCCTTCCTTCCTTCCTTCCTTCCTTCCTTCCTTCCTTTCCCTTCCTTTCCCTTCTTTTCCCTTCCCTTCCCTTCCTTTCCTTTCCTTTCCTTTCCTTTCCTTTCCTTTCCTTTCCTTTCCTCCCTCCCTCCCTCCCTCCCTCCCTCCCAAACTGGGGGATTAGAGAGCTGGCCATATCCTTGAAGGGTGGACTGACTCTCCCAACCAGCTCCAAAATTGAGAGGCACATATAAATATTTCTGATTCTGAGAGGAGGAGGAGGAGGAGGCCCAGATTTTCTGATTAAAAGCTGCAGAATGAGAGAGGCCAAGGCGGGGGGGGGGGGGGGGGGGGGGGGGCTGTTGGGGACTGGAGCCCCAGAATCCCATCAGATTTTTCTGTATCTTTTCTCAGTTTGGTGACAGCTTGGAGCTCCTGTGAACACACATATTGCATGGGCTCCCAGCCATTTTCCCGGCTAGCTAGGCTGAACGCCAGCCAAGATTTTTGCTCTGCCTGGGAAATAAACAGTGAGCTGGAAATGAGTGGTCATTGGCGCTCTCCGGCTGTTAAATCTGTTTTAAAGAATTCCCTCGTTCTTGGGAAAGCAGAGGTGGTGGGAACGGAGGCTCCGAGGCAGTTCTTGGTGGGCTTCCCTGCCCAGGTGACTCTTCCTCTGCCTCTCAACATCTGGGAGCCTTGAAAAAGGTTGCCCTTGACTGCATTGTGGGGCGGGGGGGGGGGGGGCTGTCCTTGTCTTCCATTTCTCCCACCCCTACACAGTGTCTGACCTAAGAGCAGCAGCCACTCTCTTGTGGCAAGGAGTTCCACAAGCTAATTCTATTTGCCTCTGTTAAGATGGTGGGGCAAACACCCTCCCCTCCTTCTCCCCCCCCCGCCCTACCTTGCTGTGCATATTTGGTGAACCGCTATTGGGTCTCTCCTCTTAGTTTCTCCCCACTTCCTCCAACCCCCTCCCCCCCCAGAAGAAACTGGCCCAGAGCTTTAAGAGGGCCGTGTGCCAGGGAGGGCGGGCTGCCCCACAGCTCTCTATTTTGCAAGTCCCTCCTGGTGCTTCCCCCCTAAAATACCTCACGCCCCAGCGGGTGATGCCCTCACTGGCAGGACAAGGACTGAGCCCACCCGGTCCGCCTTGTTCTGTGGAGGTGGTTCGGTCTCCTGCCTTAATGGTGCCATTGGCGTTGCAGCCTCTATTCTCCTGGACTTGGGTAGCTGCCTCCACCCCTCTCCTGGGCCTGCCAAGGGGCCGCTTCCTGCCACCGGTAGGTGCCCCTGGCTTGCTGAACTGGTTGGGGCACCAGAATTCCTTGCCCTGGAGACAGGAGAACACCCACGCCTGCCCTCCTCCCTCCCTCCCTCGGTCAGCACATTCCAGAGGCTGTGGTGGCATCAGAGCCAGCTTGCAAAGGGTCTGAGGTTCCTCCAGGTCTCTGTGCGATCGATGGGCTGGGTCTTTTTCCTCCTTGCCAGATGTTTGGGTTTCAGTTGCTGGAGCCTCGAATTATCTTGGGACATCCGGGAAGGGGGGGCTCTGCTTTTTCTGGAGGCCTCGAGGGGCTTGACAGGGGTGGACTTTCTGGGTAGGCTGTGGTGCCTCTGCAAGGCGCAGAAAGCCCCCCCACCCCTCCCGGAGCCAAGGGGGAGAGGCTGGGCACGGAGGGAGGAGCAACGTCCAAGACTGCCAAGGACAGTTAGGCTCTTTGGCTGGGGGGGGGGGGGGGGGGGGGGGGGGGCAAAGACAGGCTGGCCCAGCATACCTGCAGCCGGTAATGGGGGCACCCACGGAGGGGGCTTCTGGGGCCAGCTTCAGGGCACAAGAGGCTTGGACCCACGGCCAAGGGTTCGTGGCATTCTCCAAACCAGCCTAGCTCAACTCCGCCGATGGCCTCTGGAAAGCTGCGAGGCAGGAATGCCAGCAATAAATCCCTTTTCTGCTCTCATGGCTAATAGCGGATGAGAGGCCTTCCTTCCTGCCCGAGGTTTTCTAATCCCATTTTTTAAAAAAGGAAGCCGTGGAAGCTGGCGGCAGCGTGAATTCTGCAGCGACAAGCACTGCCCTTCGTTTCGCAGACAGATCCTTCATCCCATGGCTGGGATGAATCCCACCTCCTCCCTCGGCCATCATCCATTTCGGGGGCAGTTTCTCTCTTCTTTGGCAGTGGGGAGGGTGGGTCCCCTTTTGTCCTTCCTGTCCCCCGCCCCCCCCCATCCCCTTTCCTGCTTTGGATGAGTGAATTTGTAACTCTTTGGCCCAGAAGTTTGTTCTGTGCCACCCTTCCCTTCTCTTTGCCCACTTCCTCCGGGCATCCCCTCCGCCTCCTGCCCGGTTTGAAGCCTCCAGACTCCCTGTTCACACACAAACACAAACACACAGACCCCGCAGGGCCAGGGGTGTGTGTGAAGAGCGCATCCTGGCCAGCCCGGGGAGGGGGCCCGGCTTGCCAGTGTGTGGATGTTGACATTAACAGCAGATGTCGCTCCTTTCCCCAGCTACAGAGCGGCCAATCAGCGCCAGCACCACCAGGCTGCCATTGCCAGCCTCTCTGCCGCCCAGGCAGTGCCGAGAGAGAGGCGAGAAGGGGGTCAGAAGGAGGGGTGCGGCGGGAGGGGGGGGACAGAGGCCTGCTTGGGCTCTGCATTTGGGAAGGAGAAGCTGCCCGTCTCCCGTGGGGCAGATGTTTGGCAGTCGGGCACCCCGAGAGGCAATGCGTTGGAGCAGGACTTCTCTCCGGGTAAGGAGACTCGGGCTGGTGGTGGTGGGGCTTTTCACTCATCCACATCAGAGAGGAAGCCGGGGTGGGGGGGACCTTCTTGTCTTGCCGGGCACTCACTCTCCTCCCTCTTGGGCTGCTTCTGTGCCAGCCGGGCTTTTCCTGCTGAGCTACAGGATGGTCCCTGACCCCCAGCCCCAGCCCCTGGCTGCTCTTTGGGGAACCAGAGGAGGGAGCTGGGCAGCCCCTGCAGCAGGAGAGCCCAGCAGGAAGGAAATGGGTTAAATCAGGGTTGTTTGGAGAGAATATCGCAGGAGTTTTAACGATGCCCAGTCTTGCTGACTTCCCGTCCAGAGGCTGGGCCCTCCGTTCCTGGAAAGCGCCGGCAATTCTGCACTTCTCAGTGCCAGGCGCATCCCAGCCACCACTGGTGGGGTGCGAAAGGCTGCCGTTTGGGGTGACCAGCCAGTTCCCGACCCTTCCCTCTTCACAAGAAATGCTTGATAAATTAATTAGCACGTTGCAGATTGGCCCAAATAGCTGCCTTCCCTTCGTTTCTGTCGCTCCAAGGTTTAAAGGATGCGTCTCCTGGAAGAGCAAGAGGAAGAACGATGCATGCCAGACTCTTGTTTTGAAACAAATATTTGCCCTCAATCCACACGCATAGAGATGTGGCTAGAAACATCCATACATCTGCATGTGTTTCCTGTCTGCGTATTTGTTAGTCTAGTCCCGCTTGTGACTATTTCTATCTCGCGTGTTAATCAATTAACGGATATGGATCGATTAAGCACTGTATTAGAGTAATTCCTTTGCAAGTTTCCCACATCGACCGACCGCTCCTTCTCCGCTCTTGGGGGAGGGGGAGGGGGGATTGGGGCAATGCAGTCATTTTTTTGGGGGGGGGCTCTTTGTGGCTTTCTGATTTGCAATTCGCTCTCCGGCAAGGGAGGATCCGGTCAAGGCTTCTCTCTCGGTGGTTCGGTAGCACCCAAGTCCCACTTCCCCTTCCCTGCCCCCTTCCTTGGAGGGCTGTGAAGTGTTCAGATGACCTGCCAGCTCCTCTGTGTGCCTGTGTCTCTTTGTGTGTGTCTGTGTGTGTGTGTGTGAGAGAGAGAGATCTGGATCCTGTAGAGGAAAGCAGCCGTTTTCGTCTGGGTAGCAAAAGAATCAGGAGATCTGGTTGGATAAAGGGCAGCTGATGCCTTTAACAACATGTGTTTGTCACAAAAGGTTCTTCCTTCCAATTTGTTCCCCCTCCCACCCTGCTGAGCCCCCCCCGCCCCCCTACTCCCAGCCCAACAATGGCTATTCTTCCTCCCACATTGTCCCACAGTGAACTTCCTCTCTCTCTGGGGACAGAAGGAAAAGGGGGCTGGACACCCCCCCTCCTCCTGCTTCCCATCCAGAGTCTTCAAAGGAGTCTCCAACCTGTGAGCCCAGAGACTGGGAGGGGTGGGGGTTAAATGAGCCCCAGATCACAATCAAGCCCCTATCCCTCCCAAAAAGTGGGCTGGAAAGAAATCACCCACCAGACAGAGGGAGGACTCTGCTTCTCCGGAGATGCCAGGATCGGCCCCTGAAGTCAAACTTGTCATATCACAGCTACCCCCCCCCCCCAGCAGACCCCCCTGCTAGCCTAGTCCAGCCCCAAAGACTCCTTTTCCTGCCAGCCCAGCTCTCCTTCCTTCCCGCTGCCTCCCAGTGCCCCACTCGAGGCTTCCTTCGCTCGTGGCCACCCTGCTGCTCTGTTGCCTTCCGAATTCCCACCTTTGCCTTCTTCCCTTTGTTCGGACTTTTCCTTCGGTTTCCACTGCAGGTGGATTCTCAGTTGCCTGACTGCCGGTGGGTGGGTGGGCGAGGCGGGTGGATGGGTGATCAAAGGAAGTAAATCTTGGCAGTGGCTGCTGCTTCCATGCTGACCAGGCTGACTCTGCTGCAAAATGGGTTTGGGTGAGACACAGCGAGGGAAACCTTCTTGCAACCCTTGCCTGCGCTGAGAGGCCGCTGGAGATGCTGAGTGCTGGAGGCTCTTCTCAGTCCCTTTTCTCTCTCCCCCACCCACCCAGATCCCATCTAATGCCGAGGCTGAAGGAGTCACGTTCCCACGAGTCACTGCTCAGCCCTGGTAGCGCGGTGGAAGCCCTGGATCTCAGCATGGAGGAGGAAGTGGTCATTAAGCCTGTGCACAGCAGCATCCTCGGCCAGGATTTCTGCTTCGAGGTGAGGGTCATGCTGGGAAGGGGGGAGGGAGCCTTGAGGGAGCAGGAGCACCGGTGGATGGAAAGCAAGAGGGCTGGACTAGATGCGGGTCCTACCTGATTTTATGATGCACTCTGAAGATTAAGCATGAAACCTCCACAGCCAGAGGCAGTCTACCTCACTATCAACTTCATGAGGGTAGAATCGGGAAAGGTGGCTGTTTTTTGACTGTGCTTCCCGAACATTGGATCCCATTGGCCCAAGCTTGATGTCAGTATCCAACCAATGAAGACCTGAGGGGGTTGCTCTTTCTTTCTTGCCCGGAGACCCCCACGGCCATCAGCTCTCTCTCTCCTCTCTCAGGTGACAACATCGTCTGGGAGCAAATGCTTTTCCTGCCGGTCTGCAGCAGAACGGGACAAATGGATGGAGAATCTGCGACGAGCCGTGCACCCGAACAAGGTAGTGTTGTGGAAGGTCTTTGGCAAGATGTCCCTTGTTTGTTCTCCCCAATTTTCCAACTTCCTTTAAAGGAGAAAGCTAGCAAAGATAACAGATCTTGTAGTCTGGTAGAATGTCAGTTCACTGAACACTTTGGAAAAGGTTCATGTCTGTTAAATCTAAGAGTCCATTAAATCCAAGTGTCTGTTAAATCCAAATGTCTGCTAAATACAACTGTACACCATTGGTGTCAGTTTAGTCTACCTATATATAATTGATGTAAATGGCATTATTTGCACAAGTGTCTCCACCCAATTGGGACATTTCTCTGATGTATCTGAATATTCAGTAAACCAAGGATTTACTGAATATTATCCAGAAGTTGTTTTGTTAGGAACATGGATAAAAATTCTCAAGAGTACAAATTGTTGGCCTGACGAGATCCCTTTACGTATCTATGGAGATGTAATCCCATAGTCACTTCTTCTGCATCTCCTTCCCAGGACAACAGTCGGCGAGTGGAGAACATGCTCCAGCTGTGGATTATCGAAGCCAAAGAACTGCCCGCAAAGAAGCGTTACCTGTGCGAACTCTGCCTGGACGAGGCGCTCTACGCCCGCACCACCTGCAAGCTGAAAACGGACAATGTCTTCTGGGGGGAGCACTTTGAGTTCAACAACCTCCCGCCCCTGCGGAGTATCGCCGTCCACTTGTACAAGGAGACGGACAAGAAGAAGAAGAAAGACAAGACCAACTTCATCGGGCTGGTCAGCATCCCGGCCGGCTCCGTCACGGGGCGCCAGTTCGTGGAGAAGTGGTACCCGGTCGTGACGCCCAACCCCAGCAAGGGCAAATCCGGGGGGCCCATGATCCGCATCAAGTCGCGCTACCAGAGCATGAGCGTGCTCCCCATGGAAACGTACAAGGAGTTTGCAGAGTACGTCACCAACAACTACATGGTTCTCTGCTCCGTGTTGGAGCCGCTGCTCAGCGTCAAGAACAAGGAGGAGATGGCCTCGGCCTTGGTCCACATCCTGCAGAGCACGGGGAAAGCCAAGGTAAGGCCCTCAAAGGAGACGAACCCAGCTCTGGCCCAGCTTGGGCAACTGATCCTTGGTGTCTACAAACCATCACCTCCCCGTCACCTCCTGACCTCCCCGTTACGTCCCCTTGAATCGTTTCGACTTCACGGAGTTGAATTAAATTGCCACAGAACTGTTGTGCCCATAAAAGACGGAGGGCGTGAAGGTCTTGGCAAAGCTTGGCAGGTGGGCCCGAGTCCCTGTTCCCCTGTGTGCTATCTGGACTGCTGTTCCTGGGACAACACCCACCCCCCTTTCTACCCTGAGGAAGGATGAAGCAGCCCATCAGCCCCTGCGGGATGGGCTGCTGGGAGAGAGGGCTCCTCTGGAATTCTTGAGAGCTGCTGGGTGGTCTCTGGTCTCAACCACCCTGCCAGGCAGTGGCCCTGGGCGTTTGCAGGAGGGGCAACCTGGGGCAGGTATGTTCTCGGGACCCCTCCCCATGGATGGAATGCACAGCCAACCCTTACAAGGACCCCTCCTCTGCCTTGTTGACACCTCGGAGAGCGCTGGGGTTTGCCGGCCAGTTGTAAATCCAACTGGCGCGGCAGCTGCCTTCCGCTCAGAGTGAGGAGGGGGATTGGATAATATTTCTTACAAGAGCTGTTAGTCCAGCTAATTATGGCTTTAATCAATTTTACGAGCGCAGTCAAGGTCCTCCTCTCGGGAGTAATCTGCCCTTCTGAGAGGCGTGAGTGTTGGCCAGGGAGTTAGCACGTGTATCCCCCCCCTCCTCCTCAATCTGGTCCTCAAGGAAGCCTCTTTCTTTGGGTTCCCTGCTGGAGCCCCTTCCCCTGGGAGCCCTGAAGCTGCTGCAGGGCCCCGGTGCATCCCCCATCCGATCATTCCCTTGCCAGCTTGACGTGAAACACACACAAACTGCATTGCCTTTGCTGCTGTTCTGAGTGCAGCTGCTACTCAGATAGAGTGCCTTAGCATATGGGGGCTCCAAATGGCTTCGAGGGGAGAGCTGGACATAGTAACATATTGGAGCCGACTCATGGATTAGGCTGATGGGCACTGGAGTTCCACACGGGTCAGTGGCAGGATTCCTTACCCTCCCTGCAACCCTCAAGATGTCCCCGGGGTTGGCACTGCCCCACTGAGCCTTTGTGTGTGTGTGGGGGGGGGCTGCTACCTCCAGAGAAGCAGGCTGCCCCCCGTCCTGGGGGTCTTGGGCATTCAGGGGAGATGGCTGGCATTTGCTGAAGCAGGGAAACAAACGCGCCTGGGGGAAACAAGGGCAAACCATCGGGAACCAGAGAATGTTTTGGGGAGGGGGTGCGAAGCTGCCGCCAGCCGGCCACGCACCCTGCCCGCTTTCAGGGCTCATAGCCGCTCTTGGTCCTAATAGCTCCTTGCTCGTAAAATCTGCCGAGTCTGCAAAGCTCAGAGCCCCCAAGGGGGGAAAGCATTGCTGTGAGACACCCCCCCACACTCCTGTCCCTGCAGAATTACTTGGGGAGAAGCAGGTGAAGGAGAGAGAGAGAGAGAGGGAGGGAGGGAGGGGCTCCCCAGGGAGGACGGGGCTCGTCCCTGAACTCGGCTCTTCAAAATAATCGCTTCCCATCCGCCTTCACACACACACAACACACACACACGGAGAGATAGAAGGAGGGCAGTTTCCAGCCCGGCCAAAAGTGGACCAGGGGGGCTGCACAGAGTTTGGGTGCTGCTGCCCCCCAAATATGTGACAAGCAGGGACGCTGTGATGCAGAAGTCCATCCCTTCTTTGGCCTTGATACGGGGGGTCCAAAAGCAAAGCCATCCTCCTCCACCCCAAAGCAGTCAGGATTGTGGGCAAAACAGGCGGGGAAGGGAGAAGAATCCAATGAGCGCAGCAAGGAAAGGAAACCAGTTTGAACCCCAGGGTGTTTCAGAGGCCTTCCAGGCAGACAGGCAGGCAGGGAGGGAGGGAGGGAGGGAGTGAATGAATGGGGTGGGGATAGGCAGTGCCCCCTGTGCCCAGCTTGGCACTTTCTCACCCCAGTGGACGCTCTCCTCCGCAGGACTTCCTGACGGACCTCATGATGTCCGAAGTCGACCGCTGCGGGGAGAACGAGCACCTGATCTTCCGAGAAAACACACTGGCCACCAAAGCCATTGAGGAGTACCTGAAGCTGGTGGGCCAGAAGTACCTGCAGGACGCCTTAGGTAAGATGGGAGGATCGGGCCCTGCCTGCCCCCCCCCTCCATAGGGGCTTTGGGGCAGCAGCTGTTGAACCTGGCCTGATGGAAGGTGGAGCTTCTCCAGTTCCATTGCAGGTTCCTTGCGGAGCTGAGTTGCTGCATGTGGGGACTTTCTCCCTGAGATGCTAGCTTTCCAGCCCCAGCTGAGAGGCATTGGGGACAGGGTGCTCAGCAACCCTTACCCACCGAATCGAGACCTTCTCCTAACCTTCCCGGCTCTTCACAGCCAGGAATCGCCAGAAGGCATGTGGCCCTCAGCTGCTTTGCTGCACGGCTTCTGCCTCGTCTTCCTTGGGCTCTTCTCGCTCTAAGCCGAGACAGCAAAGCCGATTTCTGCTTGGGGGGGGCAGGAGCAGGCGGGGGCAGCACGGAACCCATGAAATGGAGGCGTGTAGTTTTGGGCACGGGGAGGGGGGCTTTTGCATGGGGAAACCTGTCACTGGAAGGACCTCTGCAGCGTCTTTACATCGCTCCCCTGTTCCCCTCTCTAGATTGGCCCCTTAACTTTCTTTCCTTGGGCTCCCCCAGAATCTGGGGCTTCACCGGCTTCCGTTTTTTTTTCCCCCTCCCTGTGCTCGCAGGAGAGTTCATCAAGGCGCTGTACGAATCGGACGAAAACTGCGAGGTGGATCCCAGCAAGTGTTCCTCCTCAGATCTCCTGGAGCACCAGAGCAACCTGAAGATGTGCTGCGAACTGGCCTTTTGCAAGATCATTAACTCGTACTGGTAGGTGGGTTGCGCTGCCAGAGTTTCCTTGGGGGTGGGAGGGGGAGACAGGCAGGAGTTTGCTTCGTGCCCGAGGACTCCAGAGAGGTTGGGGGGCAGGCAGAGTCCCAGGAGGGCTGCTCTGTCCATGCTCCAAGGCTGCTGGCTGCATTTCCTTCCTCGGCCACGGATGGGGAGGAGGGAGGAGCAGAGGATCTTGAGGGATCTGGCAGCCTTGGGGCCAGGAATCCCCAAACTTGGCAACTTTAAGACTGGTGGACTTCAACTCCCAGAAATCCTCAGCCGGCCATGCTTTGCGACTCGGCTTTATTTCGGGAGAGATGCCCAGGTGGCAGTGCCCTCCGTTGTCCTCCAGATGCCCGGGGCCCAGAAAGGGAACATGGCCGTCCCCTGGGGGCAGCCGTTCCTCCCACGAAGCCCCTCTATAACCGGCCTCCCTCTCACCGCAGCGTCTTCCCCCGGGAGCTGAAGGAGGTCTTTGCCTCGTGGCGCCAAGAGTGCAGCAGCCGCGGCCGGCCGGACATCAGCGAGCGGCTGATCAGCGCCTCCCTCTTCCTCCGCTTCCTCTGCCCGGCCATCATGTCGCCCTCCCTCTTCAACCTGCTCCAGGAGTATCCGGATGACCGCACTGCCCGGACTCTGACCCTCATCGCCAAGGTCACCCAAAACCTGGCCAATTTTGCCAAGTAAGGCTCCTCTGGGTGGATCGGCTGATTTAGGGGTGGTTGTCATTGAGTGGCCAGTTTGGCACTGTCAGTTTCATCCCGTGAGATCATAGGGACTAGAAACCTGAAAGTGTCAAGATTGCCAAGCTCCGCTCCCCCTCATTTCCAATTCAGAGTTTGGTCTAAAGGGAAGAAGTCATCTGCCTCCCAGCCTTCTGCACACACACACTTCTCTCCCCCCCCCCCCCCCCCCCATTATGAATTTTTTAAAGCCTCTGAAAGCGAGAGAATCAGTTGCTGGGGTGGAGAATGAGACAGATCCCAGCCACGCTGCCAGCTTGCTACTTAAGCCCAGAGCTTTGCTGGAAACAAATCCCTCCCCCGGCTTTCCTGGCTAGTTCTGAGCTGCTTATCCTTAAAAAAAGAGAGAGAAAGAAAGAAAGAGAAAGAGAGAGAGAAGGAAAGAAAAAGAGAGAAAGAAAAAGAGACAGAGAGAGAAAGAGAGAGAAAGAGAGAGAGGAAGAAAAAGAGAAAGAAAGAGAGAGAGGGAGAGAGAGAGAGAGATCATAGACCTGCAGTATTGCAGCTCCCAAAATTCAGGGCAGGGCACCATGTGGTTCCTCTGCCTGGCTGTGCCCACTCACTCCCTTGCCGCGATCAGTGCTTAGCTTTGACCTTTGTCCTAAGTGGGGGGCCTGCAGCTTCTCCCCCACTGCCCAAGCCTGCCTGGCCCAGGTTCCCCCATTTACACGGCATCTTCCCTGCTCCTTAAAGTGCCCACCTTGCCTGGCTTTGCCAGCTTGGAGATGGCAGTTCTATTCCTGCCGGGCGTTAGCCGTGTTCCGATGGTCCTCCTCTGCCTTGGGCCGCAGGTTTGGGAGCAAGGAAGAGTACATGTACTTCATGAACCAGTTTCTGGAGCACGAATGGACGAACATGCAGCGCTTCCTCCTGGAGATCTCCAACCCGGAGACCCTCTCTAACACGGCCGGCTTCGAGGGCTACATCGACCTGGGCCGGGAGCTGGCCACTCTGCATTCCCTGCTCTGGGAGGTGGTGGCACAGCTGGATCAGGTAATGCCCTGATGCTAACCCGAACCCCTTCACGGCACAGCCAAAGGCTGGGGAGACCCACATCCAAAGCGGTCCCCAAAGGGCCCGGCAGAGCTTCCTAGGTGCCCCAAATGGCCTCCGAGGGGGCCAGCTGGGACTGCTCCGAGGGTGCCGTGGCTGGAGGCCTTTCTAGAAACGGACCAGCCTTTTCCTCCCTTGCAGAACACGGCCACCAAGCTGGGTCCCTTGTCGCGCCTCCTCAGGGACGTCAACGCCGCTCTGAGCAACCCGTCCTGCGTGCAGGTCTCGGTCACGAGCGACCCGGCCGCCTCCACCCCAAATGCTGGCAACGGCATCTCTGTGGGGCTCCAGAAGATGGTCCTTGAGAGCGACCTGTCTGGGTAAGAGCGGACGAGCTGGTCTTGGCGGTGGGAGCCAGGGAGGGGCGGCAGGGAGGCGGTCCTGGCCTGGTGAGACCCCCGTGCGCTCTGGGGACCCAAAAGTGGAAGAGGCCGAGGTTGATGGGGGGGGGGGGGCAAAGTTCAATTGCACAAGCCAAACACATACACACATGACAGACCGCTTGGCAGTGCCCCACAGGACAGGGAATAACGGTGGGCGAGGGTCCCTGAGGGTGCAAAGCTCTCCGGGGAGGGTTCCTGGCGGCGGCAGCATGTTCTTCTCCTGAGCCTGGCGGATGTGATGCGCTTGCTTGCTTGCTGTCCTCTGCGTAGCGCGTTCTTCTCTCTCTGTCTCGCTGCCGTTTCTCCTTTTCTTCTTCTTCTTCGTTGTCGTCTTCTTCTTCTTCTCTTCCTCCTCCTCCTTCCTCTTCTCCTTATGCATTTTTATTTCCCCCACAGTCTGATAGATTTCACACGGTTACCGTCTCCAACCCCTGAAAACAAGGACTTGTTTTTTGTCACAAGGTCTGTGGGGGCTCAGCCGTCGCCCGCCCGGAGCTCCAGCTACTCGGAGGCCAATGAGCCCGACGTCCAGATGGCCAATGGCAGCAAGAGCCTCTCCATGGTGGACTTGCAGGACAATCGTCTTTTGGATGGCGGGGGCGGCGGGCTGGGAGCTGCCGAAGCGCTCCCCGAGAGCCACCCCTCCGCCGGGCAGGCCTGGGGCACACGGACTCAACAGAGTGGCGCAACGGGCACTGCCACCGTGCGCCGCTCCGCACAGACGCCCACCACCCCCAATGCCGAGAACGCCCCTGGCCGGCCACAGCTGCTGGCCCCCCTCTCCTTCCAGAACCCCGTCTACCAGATGGCGGCCGGCTTGCCGCTCTCCCCCCGGGGACTGGCTGACTCGGGCTCCGAGGGCCACAGCTCGCTCAGCTCCCACAGCAACAGCGAAGATTTGGCGGCGGCCACCAAGCACGGGTTCGGCAACCCCAGCGTCCCGGAGGACTTTGCCCGGCGTGCCGGAGAACTGGCCCGCCGGCAGCTCTCGGTCACCGAGAAGGGTGGGCAGCCGACAATGCCCCGGCAGAACAGCGGCGGCCCCCAGCGGCGGATAGACCAGCCCCCGCCCCCGCCCCCCCCCCCGCCCATCACTCGGGGCAGGACCCCTCCTTCCTTGCTGAGCACCTTGCAGTACCCCCGGCCGGCCAGCGGGGGCCTGCTTTCCTCCTCGCCCGACTGGCCGGGCAGTGGTGCCCGCCTGCGCCAGCAGTCCTCCTCTTCTAAGGGAGACAGCCCCGAAATGAAACAGCGCACCATGCACAAGCAGGTGAGTGGGGCAGCCCGGGGGCCGTGGGAAGGCGGGCCAGGCCATGAGCCCCGCACAGCCCCTCTGATGCGCACTGGCTTCTACCCCCTTTTTCCTGGGTCTCTGCTGCCCGTGTTGGCCTCGCTGGCCACCTCTCTCTGCCCGCTGCTCACCAGGCACACAGGATGCCCATTTGAGATTTCTGTGTGCTACTTCTGCCCACTCAGAAGGTGCCAGATCTGTCACCAGCCCTGGGACCATAGTGGGGGAGCTGAGCTGCCCCCCGAAGCACCTCTGCCTTTTCTTATCAGTTAATGCCGTAAATCTTGGAGTTGTTTGTCCACCTTCAGCCCCGTCAATCTCTGCCTGAAACTCAATTAAGAGCCACGCTGAGCCCCTTGAAAGTATGGCTCAGCTTTTGGGCCCCACGATGGCTGCTCTGTGGACTGGGGTCTTCCCCAGGCTGATGTCCCACTCCCATTTCTACCCCTTGGTGGGAAGGCTTGCAGTTTGCATGTCTTCTTGGGGTTCTTGGCTTCACCTCCAAGAAAGCCGGCCACCTGTGGCTGATCCCCCCCTTAATTGTCCACATATTAAAAGCGCCCCCCCCAACAGAACATCCAAAGGGGGTCTCTGCTTCGGCTAAAGCAAAGCATCTGAAACTACGTGAGATGCCCACCTCCCTCGCTGAAACCCCTGCAAAGCCGGGGCCCGTCGAACCCAGCCCTCCCACCCCTGGCAGCCTCCAGCCGTGCCCAGGAGCACCCCCACCCCAGCAGGGCCGAACCCACCCTCGGGCAACCCCTGGAGTGAGAGGGCCATTCTCCACCCCTCTGTTCCGCCAAGGGCGTCGTGTCCACTTCGCCTTATGCCTGACGCCCTCTTTTCTCCCCACGGTGCAGGCCCCTTCTCCGGTGAACCCCAATGCGCTGGACCGCACGGCCGCCTGGCTCTTGAACATGAATGTGCAGTTTCTGGAAGAGGAAAATGCCGAGCCGGAATGCAAGCTCAGGAGTAAAGACGAGCTCAGCCAAGAGGAAAAGGTAACGGAGGAACCACAGCGGTTTTTCCTTCAGAGCTCCTGGCCCTGGGAAGACGGAGAGGCGCTCGGTCATAAGGCCCTGCAGTAGCTGGGGAGGAAAAAAATGCACCCCTTGGACTTCCTCCACCCCCTCCCACTCCCTTTGCCCCTTCTGCACTTCCCTCTCGCCTGCCCTGCTCACCCCATTCTCCCGGGGGTGCCCCACCAAGCCTGGGCATTGCTGTCAAAGAAAGGAGCATATTTGTAGTTCAGGAATGAAACGAGGAGACCTTGGTGCTCTCTGAGCTTGGTGGCTATACTTGCAGACATTTCATGACCCAACTAGGGAACAAAATCAGTGCTAGAAAGGAGTGGGGTTCTTGCATTCCCTTCTCGCACCAATGGTAGGACAGACCCCCCTGCCTGCTTTCAAAAAAGGTGGATGAGGGACCGCGGGGCTGCTGCTGTGGCACAGCTGGCCTAGCCCCGCCTTTCCTCCCTTCCCCTTTGCCCCCCTGCCCAGTTTCAGCAAGACGTGGCAGTGCTGCAGGACAAGCTGCGCCAATCTGCCAAGAAGCTGGAGGAGTACGAAGTGCGCTTCCGGTGCCAGGAGGAGGGCACGCAGAAGCTGGCGCTGGAGTACCAAGCCCGGCTGGAGGAGAGCGAGGAACGGCTGCGGAGGCAGCAAGAAGACAAGGAAATACAGATGAAGGGCATCATCAGCAGGTAAGTGGAGGGGGGGACATCCTGTGCCCCCCACAAAGTCACAGGGGATTCCTCCAGCGGGCATCATTCCGACCGGCAGAGCCCACGCGGCTCTGGCATTTAGACACGGATGCGCAGCCAGGGTGTCCAAAAATGGAGGGGGAGGGAAGAAGGGGAGAAAGGCTCTACCATTGAGAAGGGACCCCTTTTCCCACCCCCCCAGGCTGATGTCGGTGGAGGAGGAGCTCAAGAAGGATCACGCGGAAATGCAGGCGGCTGTGGACTCCAAGCAGAAGATCATCGATGCGCAGGTGGGGGAGGGGGGGCTCTCTCCGAGCTGGGCGTTGGGGTGGGGAACAGGGTGGGTGGTAAATGCAGGGAACCAAAAACAGACGAGGAATTACTTCGGAGTAATTCCCTTTTTGCTGCTTGCTGGGAGACGGGAATCTTGCCAAAGTAAAGCACAAATCTGTGTAACTCTTTAAGTGTATCCTGAGAACGGCCAGGGAGGGGGCTCTCTCTCTTCCTGCCTACCAAGGATTCCAGGCTGAGCTGCCTCTTGGCACCTTGGGAAACACACACAAAACTCCCCACCACCTTCCACCCCAGGGGTTCCTCCCCCCCCCCCCCTCACAGGAAGGAGGTCAGACTAAGGAGCCTCCTGGCATCTCGTTTCCCCAGTGTCAGGTGGAGCTTCTGCCCACACGGGCGTTGGTCCCCTTGGCATCCAGGCAGAGTGACGCTGCTGCTGGGAGGGCTATGCTACCTGAGCAACTCCAGGGATTTGCCCGGCTCCTCGTATCTCCGAGGCGGCCATTCTCCGCAGCCCTGGCCCATTAGAGGCAATCAGAGATGCTGCTGGCCTCAGCAAGAGCCCCCCACCCCCGCTCATCCATTAATTAGTCCACCGGCTGGATCGATTCAGGGTCGAGAAGCAGAGACAGCCAGGAGATCTTCATCAGCCGCCCGAGGCGAGGCTGGAGGACAAGCACCTTCCTGGGGGAGCCTGCCTCTCAAAATCACGCCAGGCGAGAGCGGAGAGACAGAAGCTGCTTTGCTGCAAATCAATACCGCAGGCGCCTTCGTGGGAAACAAAAATGTTGGGCGCCGGAAAGCCTAGAAAAGAGGAAGAAAATGGCCCCCCCATTCGAAAAAGGGGCCCGTGTCCCCGTTGCCATCTCTCCTCCCGGCCTGCCTGCGTCCCCTTGTCCCTACTTTGGTGACTTTGAGAAATGTGGACTTCCAGAATCGCACAGCCGGCTGGACTTCAACTCCCAGAACTCCCCAGGTAGCATGCTGGAATTCTGGGAGTTGAAGTCCATGCTTCTTAAAGTCGTCAAGGTTGGGAGAAACCGTCCCAGAGGGATCGTGGTATTGTCAAGGCTCTGAAAGTTACCGTATTTTTTGGAGTATAAGACGCACCTTTTTCCCCCCTAAAAGGGGGTGAAAATTTGGGTGCGTCTTATGCACTGAATGTAGCCCCGCCCACCCACTGGCCCCCACCCTTTGGCCTCTGCCTCCCAGCAATTTACCTCCTTGCAGCAAGCAGCAAGAGGAACAGCTCCTTTCAGCTTCAGCACAGCCTAATTAGCACAAGTTCATTGTCCCCTACTCTCAGCTCTTTCAGGCTGCAGGGATTGCCATTGCCTATTGCTGGGTGGGCCTCTGCTACTTGCTGCAAGGAGGCAAAATTGCTGGGAGGCAGAGGCAGATTTCTTTTTCTTGTTTTCCTCACCAAAAAGGGTAGGTGCATTTTACAGTCCGGAGCATTTTATACTCCGAAAAATATGGTAAATTGCTTCCTGTCCCAAATAATAAAAAACGCTTTAGCTGCGGGAATCTTTCCGAAGTAGGAAAGGGGCTCCTTTTGCACTGACTTGTCTGTGTCCCCTTTTGCCACCCAGGAGAAACGCATCGCCTCCTTGGACGCGGCCAACGCCCGGCTCATGAGCGCCCTCACGCAGCTGAAAGAGAGGTACAGCACGCAAACCCGCAATGGGATCTCCCCCACCAACCCGACTAAATTGCAGATCACCGAGAGCGGTGAATTCCGGAACAGCAGCAGCTGTTAACCCAGGGACCGGTTGCTGCGGGCGTGCAAGAGCGAGAGGAGAGCCAAGTCGAGCGCCCAGGAGGGGTGAGCTACCTGGCACGGGCCTGGCACTCCCCTGGTCCGCCTCCTCCAGCGGGCAAAGCCAAATGGACCTCCCCCCGAGCCCTCCTCGCCAGCGGCCCCTGGCCCAGAGATGGCGCTGGTTGCACAGGAGCCTCCAACCGAGCAGGAGTGAAGCCAGTTGTCCAAAGAAGATGCTTCAGCAGCAAAGCCGGGGCACTTCCAGGAATGCGGAGAGACTTCTGACGCGCCCAGCATCCTGTTTCAGCAAGTTCTCCCTGATCCGTCACACCTGGCACTGCCACCACCTTGGAATTTGCCCTGCTGGGCGCTGCCACATCCCACTGAGTGCTCGTACGGTGCCAGGGGCCTCGTCCCCCTTCGTCCGGGGCATGGCACCTCCTCCCAGCCCCAACAGACCTCATCAGGGAACGGAGGAGGAACTGGGGCAGCTCAGGGGCTCCATCATGGGCAGAAGGAGTCTCTGCAGAGGTGTTAGATGCGTCTCTGTGTGAATCCCTGAAGAATGACCGCCAGCCAGAAAACCTCAACCCCAGCCAGAAAGTTCAAGCTCCGTTTAAAGATGTTCCTCTCTCTCTCTCGGTTTAAGTTTGCAGAGTTAATTTGAGGGGGTCAACTTTTATCAGCACGGATCCCCTCTTCCAGCACTTAGCCCCCCCCTCTCCAAGCATTTCTGCCCCCAGGGCTGGAGACAAAGCCAAAAATAAAGGGCAAAGGGCAGAAGGAAGCATCAGTTCGGTGCAGCCAGGAGAGGAGTGAAGCTGACTATCTTGCATCTAGGCACAGGTTTCGCATGCCGTACGCTGCAAATGCAATGAATTAGCTCAGCGGCAGAAGGCCTGTTTGGCTCACCCTCAGGCTGGCGAGACCCAAACAAGTTTGAAAAGGCAGTGAAAGCTGCGGAAGGCCCCTCCCCCTTGCCCAGCCCTGCCCAAGCAGCAAAAGCAAGAAGCCACCGGATGCGCTCCTGGGGCATTTCGGAGGTCCTGACATCCCAGGGAAGAACAGTCGTGGCCACAACCTCTGGCCGAAGGGCTCTTTTGCTGTGCCAAACAATAACAGTGAAAAAAAAAATCAGCTTCTTGCCACTGAACGAAACTCTAAAGCCCAAGAAACAAACCCACACCAGGGCACGGTGCAATAGTGTGTCGGGGCATATACCAAGGCAGTCAAATCTCTGGCGGGGTTTGCAAAAGGAAAAAACCAGCCGCTTTGCCAGCCTGGGCCTCCGGGGAGGGGTGTTGGGGTAACGGCTCCCCCCTCAATTTCCTAGCACCAAGGGAGCTGCCGTCCCACAGATGGGGAGGGCCCCCCTTTCTAGAAAGCTGCTCACAAAGGGGGGGGGGTGTCTGCTTGGCGGGGCCTCTCGCATCCCAAGAGGGCTCCAACTGGCCAGGGAGGGGCCGCCCTGCTTAGCAGCCCTGTTTCTCCAGCAACGTGTATGGCAGGTCCCTGCATGATGGTTGCCGGAGAAGCACCAGAGGACGAAAAATAACAGCCTCCCTCGCGTATGAAGGCCGGTAACTCCCTCTCTTTTTTCTTCCACAGTCTGCGTTAGGAATAAAACAGCCCAAAGCCCAAAGCAGACCTTTCTGGAGTCCTCTCCTCTTTTCAGGGGGTGTGGGTGCTGCGTGGGAAGCTTGCCACCTCGACGAGGCCACACAAAAGAGAGTAAACGAGCAAGGACGCGCCCTCTGAAAAGTGCCACCCCCTCCCCTAATCTGAACCGCTGGGCAGCCCTAGCCGGGCTGGGGGGCCCGTCTTGGCAGCGCGGTCCGTTGTGAGACGGGGTGCGCGAGGTGTGTAGGAGGCAGCAGCCACGGAGGAAGGCGAAAGAAGCCAGACGTTGAATCCCTCTTGCTCCAAACGCTTCTCCGCCGCCATCCGGCTCGGCTGCGTGCAAACTCCGGCCCCGGGCCCTTCCCCAGAAGACCCGAAGTTTAATACTGACAACACCCCCCACCTGGGCCCGAACATTCGCAGACAATCATGCTGCTTTTCTGCACCCCGCTTTCTCTCTCTCTCTGTCTCTGTCTCTCTGGGACGAAGGAACCAATGCATAAAGATCAGTGGCACCACTGGACACCTCCAAATAGCCGTTTCTTGCCCCCCCCCCCAATTCCCCAGGTGGCCATTTATAAGGTGGGTGCCCATCACCAAGAAGGGCGCATGCAAAACGGAGCACAGATTTCCTAGGGCATGGTGCCCAGGCAGGGTCTTAGGCAGCCTGGGCAAAGCGGCAGGGGACTGGGCACCTTTCCTTGCCAACCACTCCCTGGGGTCTTAAGGGGCCTTGCCATCCCACAGCCAATCATCCAAAGCCCTTCCCAGCCAGCCATACCTTAAGTAAGGGGGCACTTTCCACTGCCCTATCCTATTGGCCCTGCTGGGGGCTTTCCAGGGCGCTGGGAACATTTGCCAAATGCCATGTCACAGAAGCTGGAACCTGCCCCCCAGGAAGCCCTCTCGCCTCGCCCACCAGGGGCCTAAGATGCCAGGAGGGACCCCCTCTGCCATCCGGGGTTCAGTCCAGCTTCCGGTGCCTCACTTCCTCACCCCTCAAGCCTGGGCAGGTGGGAGGGCACCCCAGCTCCGTTCCCCCCATGGGAAGAGAGGCCTTTCCTTCCCCCTTTTCTCTGTTCTTGAACTTTCTGCCATATGAACTTGTTACGATCTGTAAGGTTTTCTTTTTTACAACTAACCCTTATATAATACACTGATCTTTAGAAGTTGTACAGGTCCTCTTTGTAAAATGGAGAAAGATGTTTTCAAGTATCGAATATAATGTGCCATTTTTTTATTTTATTTTATTTTATTTTTTGCCTGACAATACAAAAACGGCTGCTTTGATTTAGGGGAGCCCAGCACAGTGTTACAGCCACGCGGGGGGGAAAACGGGGCTGGCTCTGTCCAAACTCACCCTTTGAAAACCCAAATATGGATGTTTCCACTTGGTTCTGGTGGCCCAATCCCTTCTGCTGGTTTTGGAAGTGAGCTTTGTGGTTCCTACTAAATTTGGAGGAAGAAAAGGTGGATACCAAAAAGGCAAAGGTGCATTTTTTCCAAATTTGACACTTGGGCCCAAGCCAGCTTCGTGGAAACAGCACTGAGGTCCTGAGGGCTGAATCGAAGACCCTGTGGGGGTGGGGCACTACACAACTGTTCTGCACCACTTGGCATACTATGCCACAAGGGTCTGCGTGGCTTTGGCACGTGAGGGGATGCAGGGATTGGGCCCCCATCCGGAAGATAGGAGATAAAAGGCTTCACCAAAAGCCCCAGGGTGGGTGGTCTATTGGGGAAGGGCAGTGATTTTTCCACCAAACGGGACTCCCTGAGGTTGCTTTGTGGTTTGGCATCCACTATGTGAAAAAAATATATATATATCTCCATGTGGTCTCCTTTCCCTTTTCCCTCCTGGACAGCAGCACTGTATCTTCAGATATACCTCTCTGGCGCCCACAAGCGTCCCTCTTGCTCCCTGTTCAAACCAGTCTCCGTGTTTTATAGCCTCTTCTAAAAGAAACCAAGCAAAAAAAAAATGACAATAATAATAATTTTTGTAAGTATGTTTAATAAAATAATAATAACGAATAATAATAATAATAATAATATGAAGCCGAGCGGCAGGACTTGCTGAGTTGTTTCCTTCAGTTTTGCGTCCGAATAATGTACAGAGAACGTAGTTTGTGTCCAGAGCAAAGAACCATGACGTGTGCGTGCCATTTATGTACATTTGCAATTAGAAAAAATATTAAAGATTTATTTAGCTATTTTATTCAAGCTTTTTTTCCGTGCAGGATGCCTTCTATGTGCTTGAGGAGTTAATTGTCGTTGTGGGGTGTAGGTGGGTTGGAGGGCCAGTGCTGAAGTTTACCTGGGAGCAACTGCACCCCCAAATTCTGCAGGAGGAGGATGCCAAGGAATTGGAGGGACACAGAGAGAAAGAGAGAGAGAGACGAGGTAAGAACATTGGGGTTCTTGTTACACTCTTCATACTATCTGCTCCGTGGAAAGCCCCTTCGTTTCTTCTCGCTCTTTCACGCCAGCTCAGCACCTCAACTTTTGAGTGGCCTGAGCATCTCATTCGACTTCCTTAACCTTCCTCTGCACTAAGAGAGTTCTCAACTTACAGCCATCCGTTTAGCGAGCAAAGTCAACGGGGAAACTAGGTTCACTTCACAACCTTGTTACCTCACTTGACAGCGCGGTGATTCACTTAACAACCAGCGCAAGAAAAGTCATAAAAGTGGGGCAAGACTCACTCCGCCACTGTCTTCCTTAGGAACGGGAATTTGGACTCTGTTGTGGTTGTAAGTTGAGAACCGCCTGCATTCATTCGTGACCTGATCTCCTCCGTATCGCCTCTTTTGGTTTTTCCAAGAAATAATGTGGACCAGCAACCCTACCAGAGTTTGGGCATCTTAAAATCTCCCCTTCTCCCCCCCAGGTCTTTAGTCAACTTGTTAGGCAGGCACAGCCTTCACCTGCTTGTCCTGGCTTCTTGCCACTTACGTATAAACGGCAATTCCTCACTCCATTTTCCTTGTCAAAACCCAATTACCTTGGTCTCGGATACATCAATTTTCAGGCTCAGGCCTCTCGCTGCTTCTGCTTCGTACAAGCTAACATTGGCTGAAAATCACTCCAGTTTGTCAGCCGAGCAGCGGCAACATCTGCATATAAATGCACAGCGAGCCCTGCCAGCCGCCACAAGCATTCCTTAGGTATTTATTTCTAAATTTAGCAGCCAACAGAACATCACACACGTCGCCCTCTCTGCTCCACGCTCTCCAACGGTCTCTAAGCTTCCCTCTTTCTTTGCCCGGCGTTCTCTGCATTCAGCAGCTCACCTTCAACTCTGCCCTTGCGCAAAACGGGCCACCGGAATTCATTCAAGCCTATTTACTTTAACCTTCCTTTTTTTATTTTTTATTTTTTTTGCAACCCACAAATGTACAACATAGGGTCCCGTTCTTAACCTTCTTACCCTGCCTGGCACGAAGCTGCCTTGCACTTTTAAATGTTCGAAATTCTCACTTCCCGCGTCAACAACTCTGCCCGTTTCCAGGCACACTTAACAAATTAATGGACTTTGTAGGCGTTGCCTCCATTCGTGCTCACTTCTCCTTCACGCAGGAAACAATAAAGAGCAGCCTTCCAATTGTCAGTTTCTCACAACACCTTAAATAAATCGCACTGTCGGCCTGCAGGCACAACACCTCCTGCTTTTAATGTTTCTGCAGTTGTATCGTCTTACTCCGACACTCTTGGCATTTTTCAACGGTCTCGGTGATTGTGTTTTAAACCTTTTCGTGTTTTTTTTCCCCCTTGGACAGAAGTATATACAGCTTTCATTTCTGTTTCCCTCTTCAACATGTCTCCCATCAATCACAGCTTTCCTCATTTCATTTCTCAAAGCACCCAGTCCTGTTTACATGCGGTTGTGCCCCCTGAGTTAGAGAGCCCTCATTCGCCCCTCCAGCTCTTCCAAATCTTTACCTTGGCGACAACTTACCAAGGGGAAGAAGCAAACTGGAAGCAGCAATTATAGGAGTTGTTGGTGCATCTTACACACACACACACACACACACTAACACACCGTGAAATAACCTGTATGCACTAAAAAGCATTTGCCAAGGTAGGGGAAGACTCCTGCACCACTTCCAAAGCTTGAGGCTTTGGCGCACCTGGCCTGAATGATGCCAAGTGCCCTCCAGCTCATGGCAACAAGGCTGGGCATCCCAGTTTTGGCGTCCCCTCCTGCCCACACTTCCAGCCAGACAGTTGGGTCATCGTTTCTGGGGGACCCTCTCTTTTTCCAGCCAGCACATGCAGGCAGACCCCCAATCTACGGCCAGCCCCAGATAGCCTTTGCCAGCGACGCCTAGACCTTGGGCATATGGTGCCACTGGGCTCCTGCCCGGCCTTCTGGTTTCCGGGGATCTTGGCGGCTTCTTCCTGGCACCCTTCAAGGGAGCTAATTACTGTGCCGCTAATGAGGCACAGGTGCTAATTCTTCCTCCTGCTCTGTCTCTGGCCTCTTCCAAGGCTGAAGATCCCCTTCCAGAAGGGCAAAGGAACGGGGGCAGGAGCTGGGCAGTCGGAGGGAAGGAGGAAGGCTTTGCTTCCGTCCAAAGAGAAGCTGCCCCAGAGGGGAACTGGGAGGGCCAGGCCCTTTAGTGTACTGGCTGCAAACCTGGACTCCCGGGTGGGCAGCTGCAGGCAGGCACAGGGTCACAGCAGAGCCGGTGGGGTCTCCAACCTTCACCTCTTTGCTTGTAGGTTTCTTCCTTTACTCCCCTCGGCCAACCATTGTTTTAAGGGTGTAAAGATGGGGAGGGGCTAGAGCAGAACCTGGGTTGCTATAGTTACACGCAAGCAATGATAAGTAGGGTGTGACCAAGACCCACTCCCCAATTTAAAAACCAGGAGTGCACCGCTCTGTTCAAGAACAAGCTGACGTCCCACAATCACAAGAGATTCTGCTCACCCACAGCAATTTCAGATGCAAACCCAACAGAACTGCTTCTGAATTTGCATTCTTGGCTGCCATAAATCAGCAAACTGGGGTGCTCTTAAAAGAAGTGATGTCCTTGCAAATTGTTGCCCGAATCTAGCAAAAAAGGGAGAATTGGGGAATGAAAGATGGACTCGCCACCCGTGGGACGGGCCCTTGATGTGTCTCTCTTGGGAAGGGAGCCCAAGTCGCCCTCGGAAGCCCTTTCCTGGCTCTGGATGACGGGTTCTGCCTTACAGCTTCATTAGCGGGAAGTGGCTGAAAATAGCACCAGTCCACCGCTGAGATTCTGACAGCTCTCCGGGAGCCGAGACTGAGCCGCGCTCCTTCCCCAGCACCCTGCCTTGTCAGAGGAGCTGAGAAAAACTAGAAACGGAACCGCGAATGGACGGAGGGGTGGGTTGGGGGGGAGGGGGGGCAAGGAGGCTCGCCCGAGTCCCAGATTCATCAGGGCTAGTAACATTGTGCTGGTTCCACTCGTTTACATCCACAAGCCTTGTCCCTTGCTTTTTTCATGCTGCACAAACCCCTCGTTTAGGTCTCCCTGCCCGGTGCTGAAGGAGGCGGAAGGAATGCAGCTGGGGTGGTGGTGGCAGGAGTGCCCCCCCCCCCGAGCCAGCCAGGTGAGGAGATACGGCCAAGGGACCGGTGTGGGGGAGCAGCCATTGCCCACCACTGCTTGGCCCCAGAGCTGATTCCCCCAACTGGAGGGGACCCACACCATCTCCCCTCTGCTCCCGGGGCCTGTCTGCTCTCTTCCCCTCCGCCGAGACAAAACGAGGCCCGCGGAGGTGGCAATTAAGCTACCTGATCTAATTACTGTAATTGCCAATACAGATTATCCGCACAAATGGCGGATAATTTCTTGCCTCCCGCACTTCCTTCATCAGGGGGGGTCTCCCCTTCTAGAGACGGTGGGGAGGCCGCCTTCCCTTCCCTTCCCTTCCCTTCCCTTCCCTTCCCTTCCCTTCCCTTCCCTTCCCTTCCCTTCCAGGGCTCCCGCAGCAGCTGCCCTGACAAGCAGAAACCCAACTGGTCAAGCCAGGGGATGAACCGGGAAAAGGGGAAGGGGGCCTTGCACCATTGCAAATACAGGTAGTCCTCGACTTACAACCATTCGTTTAGTGACCATTCAAAGTTACGACAGCCCTGAAAAAAGTGACCTATGGCCACTTTTCACACGACGGTTGCAGCTTTCCCCGGGTCACGGGATCAAAATTCAAACACTTGGCAACTGACATGAACTTATGACAGTTGCTGTCCCGGGGTCATGTCATTGCCTTTTGCCACCTTCTAACAAGCACAGTCAACGGGGAGGCCAGATTCACTTAATGACCCGTGGCAAGAAAGATCTTAAAGTGGGACAAAACTCACTTAACAGCCGTCTCGCTCAGCAGCAGAAATTTTGGGCTGAATTAGAATAGAATAGAATTCTTTATTGGCCAAGTGTGATTGGACACACAAGGAATTACAGTCGTATGTCGAGGACTACCTGTACTGCAAAACCTGGGCTGGCACATTCTCCGGAAGGCATTTGGGTGTTTTCCTCCTGGGATTCCCAGGTTTAAGCATCCCATTCTGCGTCTTTAATTCCCGGTTCTCTCTTTCGAAAGGAGGGCCGTAAAACAAAGCCAGCTAAAGCAGCTTCCCCTGAACCGTTTTGTATCCCCGTTAAAAACTGCATGTCAGAAATGAAGCGTGACTAACATCCTCCTGCATTATGCACTGCCTGCCTCCACAGAGAGAGAGGGAGAGGGAGAGGTATTATCAGGTAACCTGGAGCTAAAATAGAGACCCATTTCCCATTTGCAGAAATGGGGGGGGGGAATGCCTAGTTTTAGGGAGGAAACGGCTAAACTAATTAAATCCATGTGTTTTAAAAACCTCTCCTCTTCTTATCCCTTTTTATTGCTTTAGGCTGAAAATCAAGTCAATTCACAAATTCTCTAGCTGGCAGGTCTATCCAAAATGCCTTCCTACCATTGCTCTTTTTCCTTCTAATTATTCATAAAGCCACGGAAAAAGAGATTGAAACTTAACGTTTAGAAGTCAACAGAAAACTCCATTTGAAAAAGAACATTATTTCTGATATTAGTAAGGTTTCGTTTTTTGGAAAAAACAAACTAATGAATGTATTTGGCTGAACAGAACAATAAACTTCGAGGAAAAATATTCTTGCAGCGAGCACTCCAAGAAAAAACAAAGGAAAAAGCTGCAATCTGCCAGAATCAAATCAATGGTAAATATTGAATACCTTCATTTAATCCTCCAGGAATTCAGTTGTTTAGCAACAATATCCATATTATTTCTCTTCTTAATGAAAGTGTTTCATTATCACCTTTTGTTCCATAACACAAAAGCATCACTCTGAAATCTTTGCCAATCAAATCTTTGACTAAAAGGCTTCCTTTTAGTTCCCCTAAATATTCTCCGGATCTGATTTTTTAGGGCCAAGCAGTCTTGGCTGGATCCCTTTTGGGACATGGGGAGGGGGCAGAGTCCCTTCCCTGAAGTGGGCAAAACTCCTCTGGATTTAGGTCCCTGGATTACTGGCACAAGATTCAAGCAGGCTCCATGGAACGTGAGGGAGGAGGCCCACCTACTGATCTGAAAGGCCCCCCCTCCCCAAAAGACCCACTGACTTCTGTACCCCCACAAGAGACATAAACCCCCAATGACTGGGATTGCATCAAGGGCTGCAGAGGTTCTGAAGAAGCTGTTTTCAGCCTGGGAACATTTTCAAAAACTCTGCCACGGAGGTGGGAGTTGGGGGGGGCGGGGAGAGGGACCCCAGGATGCTTTGGTCAGGAGGACCAAATCCTCCCACCTGGTCAGCCCTTGGAGAGGAACGGAGGGATGGGAGGGGGTCTTCACCACCACTCAATGGGAAAAGCCCCCCAGTTTATTTTGAGTAGCAGCTCCACATCTGGGTCGGGGATTCCCCCTTCATGCAACGCAGGCATCCCCATGCTGCCTCTCACCCTCCCAATGAAGACGATGCTGCTGGCATACATAAATAGGATTTTAGTTCACCATAAGTTTTGCTCTTCATCCTTTCTACCACTTTGTGCACCACCACCAATCTCGTGACTTCTCCCCTTCCTGCCAAACTTCCCCCCCCCACCAGCCCCTGGAGACTGGGCTCCCTCGGGCAAGGGGGCTCCTCACTGGAGATGGCTCTGTGTGGCTGGAGAAGACGATCCAGGATCCCTCCTCGCCCCTCCATTCTGACGATGCGCCAACAGGCCATGCCAAGGAGGAGTTTGGGTGAGGAGCATCGATCAAGCCCCACAGCCACCCCCCAAAAAAATGTCTCTGAAGGGAGGGCTGGGCACAGCTCCTCCTCCTGCGGCACAGGCTGGGCATCAGGCCGGTGAGACCTTCATGGCCTCTTCAGGGCTGGGAGCTCCTGCAGTCGACAAACTTCTGGGTTCTCTGGAAGGCAGCCGAGCCGGGCGTGGCGGGACTGAGCTGCAGCCCATCTTGCGGGCAGGTGACCAGGGTGGCCTGTGTGGTGGAGAGGCTTCGGCTGCAGGCCAGGCGCTTCTCATCCAGGACGGCCAAGTTGTACTCGCAGAAGTCCAGGAGAAGCTCCACCTGCTCGTGAAGCGAGAGGGACTTGTACCTCCTCTGGGCTAGGAGGCAGATGGCCTCCACAAAGGCTTGGAGGCTCATCCCTGGGAAGGAGGAAGAGGGGAGGTCAGCAAGGGAGACCACCCAGAGCTTTGAGTCACCTCGATTTATGACGCTGAGGAAGCCAACAACCAACCCAGGTGGGGCCACCAGCATCGGCTAGACGTTTTGCCCAATTGGAGGTGAAGGTACCAAAGATGGACCATCGCCAAGCACGGAAGCTTCTGGCAGGGAGAGCAGCTGGGGCATGTTGACCGCTGCCACTTCCATACCCCCTTATAGCTGCACTGCCCCCCCCTGCTTAGCTGCCAGTCCCCAGGATGGGTTAACCAGGTCCCAGGCATGGCACCAGCCCAAAAAAGAGGATTATTCAGGAAGCGCTGCTGTCTCTTTGCCCGAGCCCTTCACGGCCAGGTGGGCAGCGGCTGGCACCGCTCTGGCCCCGTCTGCTGAACTCTCCGTCCGTCCTGACATGCAAAGAGGGGCTGTGGAAGGTGGCGAAGCCTCTTCAGCTCAGGGCAAGCGTTGGAGTTTGGCTTCTTAGGGGGCCTGGCCAGCTCCTCGGAAGGGAGAGGGCAGGAGTAAATAAATCAGACCCTCCCCCTTGCCATCCCTAGAAAAGAAAAAACCCCCCCTCTCTCTCTGCTTCCCGCAGGAAAAGCTCTTCTCTGTTACTGCCTCTGGCAAGGAAACGGGGGCTTTTACCCGGATCCCTGGAGCTGGCCACAGCCTCATTTCCATCGTCTGGCACAGAGAGCGGCTTGGGGGATATTAAAATAAATCCCATCCATTACAATTTTTAATAAAACCTGACAATTAACTCAGGGTACCAGACAGGCAAGGAGCGCGTCTGGCTTCCTGTTGAGACGCTTCTGGGTAATCCAGATCGCGTATTAAAACCTCAGAGAGGAGCCCCCCCTCCCCATGAAAAAAGGGGGGGCTGGTCTCCCCTTGACAAAAAGGCTTTCCCCCCCCCCCAAACGGTTTTTTATTTTGTGCATCCATCCAAATGCTACTTTTGTCATGGACTTAACCCTCTGCTGTGGATTATTTCTTACTCCTGGGCCTCAGGCACCATCATCATCATCATCATTTTTATTATTATCATGGTGATGATTGACAACACGCCTTCCTTCGCCTTGCTCTTTGGCTCGACTGCCTCTGAGCTGTGCTTGAATCCCTCATCTTAAGAATCACTTTTCATTTCCTGCAACGACGCAGCAGCCTCTTTCCCACACTCTGCATTTCTTCGACGTTTTCCCCACTGCAGGCTCTGTTTGTTCTTTCCCCAAAGCAGAGATGATACAAAATCATTCCAAATTGATCAATGGAAAAAACTGTTAAAGTTTGCTCTTTAAACGTGAAGGGTAGGGGGGAGCAGCCAGAAGCACAAACCGAACGCAACGAAAGGAACTGAAAACTGCACACTCCTGATCGTCTGTGGAAACTCTCAGTCCTCCTCCAGGTCACGGTGGTCCCAAAAGTGCTTTTTTTTCAAAAGGCAACTGGACTTTCCTGCTTTTTCCTTGAAGACATTTCGCTTCTCATCCAAGAAATTCTAATAATTATTTTAAATTATTGGGATTTTTAATTGTCTTGGGCTAAACTATTTAATTTGGTTTTAATTATGTTTCTAACTTTTGTATCTATGTATTTTATTCTGTGCCCGTTCACCGCCCTGAGTCCTTCGGGAGTAGGGCGGTATATAAATCTAATCAAACAAACAAACAAACAAGAAGCTTCTTGTTAATATAAATCCATCCATTCCCGCCATTCAGTCAGAAGCTTCTTGGATGAGAAGCAAAACGACTTCAACAAAGTCTTTTGGAAAAGCCCCTTTGGGACCCACTCCTGATTATTACCACTGATAACAATTACCACTGATAGGGTCATTGTCCACTGCCCACTGGCCACGCAAATTGTGCCCGCTGAGGCCAGTGGGGAAGAGAACGATTTTGACCAGGATTTTACTTTGCAATTTGGCTATCCAAATATCAGGGTAATATTTAGGGACGTTTAGCAGAGTTCCTCCCCAACAGTGGTGGGATTCCAAAATTTTTACTGCGGGTTCTGTGGGTGTGGCTTGGTGGGCGTGGCAGGGGAAGGATACTGCAAAATCCCCATTTCCTCCTGATCAGCTGGGACTCGGGAAGCAGAGAAGAGATGGGAGCAGGGCCAGTCAGAGGGGATATTTACCAGTTCTCCGAACTACACAAAATTTCCGCTTCTGTTTCTCCAGAACTGGTCAGGACCTGCTGAATGCCACCTCTGCTCCCCACGGAGGGAGAATCCAGGCCCAGAAGGATGGTCAGAACAGATGACCAGCTGCTGTCTGGGCAGGGCTGACCTCTGGAGTTCTTTGCAAGACTTGCAAAGGCTTCACTGACAGGCCAGGGATGCCACCTTGTGCCGACCTCACTATGCGCTAGTTTTATGTTCCTCACCCCCCCCAAACAGGTATTTTAAAGGTAAGTATCCATTTCCCCCTCTTTTAACTCCAGAGGAATCAAATAACACAAGCAAAAGTTTCCTAGGGTGGGGAAAATCTACCTACTGCAGAGAGGTAGAGGGGGTATTGTAGCCCTCAAGGATCCCAGCAGGTGTAAACGCCTGAGCCAAGGGACTTGAGCTCAGAAGCTGCACAGGTAGGGTCCAGTTGGTACTTGGACCAGTGACCTGCGGAGAACATTGCGGTGGGAGAGCCGAAAGCAGGTGACCCAAAAGAGGAGGAAGAATCCCCCTCCTCCCCCAGTTATTTTGGTTGGGAGGAAGGCACTCGGGTGGGGTCAGAGGAGAAAAGAGAATTCTCCTCCTCAGCACTCCTCCACAAATTTTCCTTAATGTCACTTCGGTCAGCAAAACAAAAAACACCCACCCACACAAATCCGTGCTGGCAACATCCCACAATCACAACTGATTCTGCTCACCCACAGCAATTTAAGATGCAAGCCCAACAAAACTCCGGCAAGAAAAAAAACCCACCCCCAAGCGCTCATCCAGACTGAACAATGGAGCAGATGGTGGGTCTCATCCGAAGCCATAAACGGGGGGCAAAAAAACGACACTTCCTCTCGCGCTAATTGCGTGTTAATTTCACTCGGCAGGACTTGCAAAACCCGAAAACTCTTGGCCCGTCTGCTAACCCGGCCCAGCGGCTGCCAAGCCCCACCCCGAGGTGATTCCCTCCAGGGCTGAGATCTGGAGGCTCCTTGGCCCAGTGTTCCCCGTGTCTGGCCTCCTCTTTTCCCCCTTTCCCACCCCTCCCCCAGACAGCCTCATGGTCTTTGTAATCCGTGCCGCATCAGGGACCGCCAGGTTGAGAAAACCTGGAGGTCCAAGTCTCAAAGTCCGAAGGAAAGAGGCAGCCAGGCCAGCTTTCCAGGACCTGGGAAGGCTGGCTGGGGATTATGGGAGATGATTGCAAGGGTGGCCCCCACCTGTGACCACTTTGAAGACCAAGAGGACGGACCTTTCCATGCCTCCCTTTCCCTTTGCACAGGAGCTCCTGGATCAGCCAGCTGCTGGGGCCAAGGGGGGGGGGCACATCCTGGGATGGCCAGGTGGGGGCCCAGTCTCTGCTTGGTCTCCATCTCCCACGGGATTGGGGGGGCAGTCAGCGGGACCTTCCTTTGTCCAGCCGGACTCACCAGCCTCCCGCTGGTCCATGCTGGGCCCGATCCCCCGGCGGGTGATGTCGATGTACAGAATGTCTCCCGCGGCCATGCTGAAGCCACTGTTGCTGATCTTGCTGTTCCTGGGGAGGAGGAGAAAGAAGAATGTTATTATGGGATGGAGGGCCCTCATTTTCTCTGCCTGGACAGCATCCCCCCCCACCAGGCTCCCCTCTCACCTGATAAACATCCGGAAGCCGGTGGGCCCCAGCTTGGTGGTCCCCTTCACCCCCAGGAAGCGGATGAAGAGGGCAGCAATCCTTTCCACCAGCCGCAGGTAGCTGAACTGCTTGGCGTACTTGGGGAAGACCTCTTTCAGGCAGACGGCGGGGGGCTTGGCTTCTGGCGGGGGGCTCTCCCCCAGCTCGGGCTTGTTCTCCAGCTCCTCCTGGAAGAAGCTCTCCTCGTCCTGGGCTGCCAGTTCCACCAGTTCAGCTCTGTAGGTTCAAGAGGGAGATCCCAAACTCTCAGGAAAGGATGCCTGCGTTCAAGTAGTGTGGATGGAGCTGGAGGTGCCAGGGGGAGCCTCTGCCCCATGGGACCCCAGCAGTGAAAACAAGACAACAGCCCCAATGAAGAGGCATAGAGACTTCCTGGGTGCCCGTCTCTGTCTCCCAAGGGCACGAAAAGCCCCGTGCGGACTGGCAGGCAGCTCCAGGCATGGTGCCAGATGCCCATCAGCTCTGTTTTTACACCAAATCCCAGCTTTTAAAAACCACTTTCTGAAATTCTGGAGACTCTGTTCCTGCCAAACCTTGATGGTTAAAATCAGTATCAAATGACCTCCATGATCCAGACTCGGAGGGCAGAGGGGCCCAAGAGGGCCCACAAAAATCACATCCTCCACATTTGTGGCAGACAGGAAGCCTCCAAGACTCTGGGTTTTGCCAAATTGCAACCCCATTTTAGGAAGCCACCAAGACCGGCAAGAAAGGAAGCCACCAAGCCTGGGAACCGGAACCAGAGGCAGAGACCAGCCCCTCTGGCCCCACCACCACCACCCCCAGAGAAGAGGGGGCCATGCCAGGTTTCTACAGAGTCAAGTCCTACATCCACGATGCAACTGGCAAGCTAGAAGCCTCCTGGGGCCGACCTGGCTTAAAATGCCCAATTTCCACACGTTTATTTCTCTAATTCTGCGCCTTTCATCCAGGCGGGATCAGCCTGGAGAAATTATTAACCGGGTTGGGAGGAAGAAGGAAAGGGTTCCTGTCTGGGAAGCGTCATCTCGGGGAGAGCAAAAAATTTCAATTTGAGCCCAGCGTTTCAACATCCCAAGGACGGCTTATCTTTTATACATGATTACTAATTTATTAATGCTTCCCTGCTATCTGCACCAGATCCTTTCTGTTCCTTCTCAGGGCACTTAATCTTTATGCTAATGTGCTGCTCCCTTCGCTCCCTCGGCTACAGTTCCAGCTGCTAATTAAAGGCTGAAAGATGAGATTTACAGCCAGGGTCCAGGGACCCGGAGAGCTGCGGCTGAGCCCCAAAGCCGTCCCTGAGCTGCCGTCTTCCCAGGCAGGAGGCTCTCGGCTCTCCACAGAGGTCAAAATGGAAACCCAGCCTGGAGCCCTCCGTACGAGGGAGAGTTTATTGGCCTATAGGCAGTCCTCGACTTAGGACTGGTCACTGAATGACCATTAAAGTTACAACTGACCTCCCCAAAGGTGAATGTGAGCAATTTGGCTTGTGAAGTTTGCAGGTTGAGTTTCCTCCGTGATCACATCGACCTACGTTTCACAGCCTCTCAGCAGCCCCCATGGGAGGTTGGGGAGGGGGGGCAAATGATGGGCAACCACAAAGAGGCCAGATATCTGCTACGATGGAAAGATGGAGGGAACAGGCTTGCTGGTATAGAAGGTCCTTAGTTGTCCTCCTGCCCAAAACCACCCCAAGTAGAAGAGTAAATTTTCCAGCAAAGGAAAATACTTCTAAATGGCCTAAATTTCAATTTTACCCCAAAGGCCGGAGGGAGGGGTTTCTGTTTAGGAGGTTTAATCTCCAGACCTGTTAATTTACACTTGAAGGCCTCTCCCACTCCCCAGGCAGGCTGGACAACTCCCCCCCCCCCGGGATTTCTCAAGGCCGTTAAAACTGCAGATGTCATAAAAAGGGAAGTGATGCCTTTGGATGGAGGTCTCGGGGAAGGAGCCGGTCTGCCTTAGCTCAGAGGTGTTAGTGGAGGAGACCCACAACTTCCATCCTGCTCTTCCCGTAAAGAGCCTTTACTCTCTGGGAAAATCAGGATTACAGACAGAAGGAGCCGAGGCTGGTGCAGTGGCTGTGTGTGCAGATGGCAGATGCCATCTACGTCCCAAAAGACAACCAGCTGCTTGGCTCACCGTTCTTGGCACTTGCCCAGCGTGTCCTTCTGGTCTGGTACGTCCTGGATTATTCTCCCCTTAGCGGATCCATGGATCTCTTTCAAAATCCTTCTAATCTAGCGAAGGACCCTCCCGGACACGCAGGGAGGGCCAATGCCCCAGAAGCCACCCTGGTTTCTGACCCATCCCCACTGAGCTGCAAACCGGGAGTAAAATTATCACCTGAGGCTGAGCTGATGGACCCCACAGGAGCCCCAAGATAGTTCAGCTGCACGGATGGCAAGAGGCAGCCCCCCCCCCGCACACCCTCCCTACTCAGACCCACGGAATAAATTACGCTTGAAATGGAAGAAGGAGGGGCATCATTATCAGCTTTAGTGTCTAAATGAAGACAAAAAGACGGCTTTGGTTTTATTGCTTGCTTTGGGCCATCCGAGCTCTGCCAAAGACAGAGAAACTGCAGAAGCAAAGAAACCCTGGCAAAGCAAGAGAGGAGGGCTTATTCTCAGCAATAAATGGGGGAAGATTTGTTTTAATCAAACTATTTCTAAAACCCAGCTGGCTTTGAGCCCCTGCCCACCATTCCATCCAACGACTCTTCTAATAACTCTGGAAGAATTGGGCAGCAGGAGAACCAAGAGAGTTTCAAATCGATTTCTAGACCGCCCAACGGAGATTTAGGAAAGCAAGAGCAAACCTCCTTGCATCCAGAGGTAAACTGCTCTTGAACATGAAGGTTCTAGCCCACTAACCTACTGAGTTCAACAGTGGGAGAGATGGTGGCTGATGGAGATCACCTTCTGAGGGTCCTTCTGGAATTCAGTGTTGCAATATTGACTCCTAAAAGTTCCACATTCTGGGTGAAGCAGAATATAACAGAATAACGAAGTTGGAAGGGCCCTTGGAGGTCTTCTAGTCCAACCCCCTGCCCAAGTAGGAGACTCTACACCATTCTGGGCACATGGCTGTCCAATCTCTTCTTGAAAGCCTCCAGTGATGGAGCTCCCACAACATCTGGAGGCAAGTTGTTCCACTGATTAATTGTTCTAACTGCCAGGGAATTCCTCCTTCGTTCTGGGTTGCTTCTCTCCTTGATTAGTTTCCATCCGTTGCTTCTTGTCCTGCCTTCTGGTGCTTTGGGAAGTGCTTTCCTCCGGCATTTCCACATGCATTCCCATAGCCCAAACACCCCACGTGCAAAGAAGATCAGAGTGCAAACCACCTTCAATTCTGCTGCTTGCTCTACCAGAGAGATGGGAGCCCAGCTTGACCCCCTGCCTGGTAAAATCTGTGGGGTGGAATCTATCTTTTTTTCCTTGCTGAAGGTTGATAGCAGCCAAAGGGAGGTCAATCCAGCTGGGGGAATTCAAGTCCCAGCAAACTCGGCTGTGCCTGCTGGGCCTTGCAGTTCAGCAGCCGGCGAGCCTGAGGACCACAGGTTATTCCACATGAAAGATGGGCTTAATTTAGCTGCTTTAATTCTGACAGCAGGACCAGCAGCCTCCTGCCAGCCTTCCCGCCTCGGTTATTGGTGATGGGAAAATAAATCACAGGAGATTCTCCACAGTCCTGAAAGGGGCTGTGTTGTGTTGTGTGCCTCTGTTTGTGTGTCTCTCCTCCACCACTGAGACTCTTCCTATTGGCAGCTGGTTGTAAATATTTAAGTGTGATTGCTTTTGTCTGCAAGGACAGCCAGCTTGCTTCTCAGCAGTTTTCGAAAACACAGGAGGGGGAAAAAAAACACGGACCGGTTCCTTTTTGCCTCCTGGGAGATGAATGTCTCGTTGCTTCTCTGCTTTAGGGAATGTCCTAAATTTGGAGAACAAAGGACGTGCTGGTGCCAGGACGGCATCTGAAGATCTTTGCCCCCATGTGAATGACATTGATTGCAACTCCTTGCACATCACGTGGCAGGCAGAGGACGGGGTAACATAATGCTGCATTCCGGTGGTGTCCCTTCCAAAGTGCACAGCACCGTCTCTTCTTCCCAGGGAAAGCCTGACTCTTTTTTGCCTTCTTCCCTGGCACCATGCCAGCTAAGGGGCAAGAAAAGGCTAGGGCAACACAACGCTGCATTCCGACTATGTTGCCCCCAGAGAGCATGAATGTTCTTTCTGCGCCAATATAAATTGAATAAATAAATAAATAAAACCCAGGAAGCTCAAACTGCCCAAGGAGCTGCCAATCCAGTTCTACAGAGGAACTATTGAGTCTGTCATCTGCACCTCTATAACTGTCTGGTTTGGCTCTGCATCCCAACAAGACAGACACGGACTTCAGAGGATAATTAGAATTGCAGAAAAAACCATGGCTACCAACCTGCCTTCCATGGAGGACCTGTCTACTGCACGAGTCAAAAAGAGGGCTGGGAAAATATCTACAGACCCCTCGCATCCTGGACATAAACTGTTTCAACTCCTACCCTCAAAATGACGCTATAGAGCACTGCACACCAGAACAACTAGACACAAGGACAGTTTTTCCCCTACAGAACTGGTAGTAAAAAAATTTGGATTTCTCCACTGGTCTCAGCTCCAAAACTTTGGGAGCCCCAATGCTTAAGTGCTGAAGGCTCCACGCCGGAGTCTCCGCTGGGAATCGGATCACACTTACGAAGGCTGCTCTGCCGGCTCCTCCTCCTCCTCCTCCTCCTGCTGCTGCTGTTGCTTCTTCTTCTTCTTGTGGGGGTCCACCAATCGGAGAGTGTCCCGGATAACGGCCACCTTGACTTCTTCATCGACCGGACTGGGGATGTATTGCGTAACTCCCGGAGAAACCTTAAAAACCCAGAAGAGAAGCTGATCACAGCAGGCATGCTCAAAAAGTCAGCTTTTTTCCTTCGAGTGGGGGGCCTGGAGGTCCACTCCCATCTTCCCAGGAAGAGAAAGAGGCCGGAGGATGGCCGGATTGGATGCCCACCTCTTGTTCGTGTTCGATCTTCATGCTTGGGTTGGCGTTGACTTCCAGCAAAATGGGCTTCAGGTTCTTCATCAGCAGGATGTCAAATCCTAAAATCTTTGGAAGAGAGAGAGAGAGAGAGAGAGAGAGAGAGAGAGAGAGAAGCCAATCTTTCCCAGAAACCAAGAACAGGCCAATATTTTTTGATATCGCAAGACACCCAGAGTTACCCTAGGGCAGGGGTCGGCAACCTTAAAACACTCAAAGAGCCATTTGGACCCGTTTCCCACAGAAAAGAAAACACCGGGAGCCACAAAACCCTTCCCGTGCCTGACTATTTCTTGAGCGGCCACAAAACTAGCAAATGTCATTGAATTAAAGATTCTGTTTTCTTCTGAAACTTTCCTTTTCTTGGATTTATCCATGGTTGGCCTACCAGGGGGTAGAAAAGCTCAATAAATCATGTGCCTGTGGGTGTCGCACATTGGCGGCTGTGGCGCATATTTTGAGCGACAGGGAGCCGCAGCAGAGAGGTGAAAGAGCCACATGCGGCTCCAGAGCCGCAAGGTTGCTGACTCCTGCCCTAGGGTAAGATGAGTTAAATAAATAAATAAAAATATATTTCATATACTTCACTTTGGACCCCCGGTGGATTCGCAAGGCCTCTCTTGACAACCCGCACTCACTTGGAAGCAGGAAGGCCCCGGTTTGCCCGTGGGGATATCAGACTGGTAAAAGACCTTCAGCTCGGGCACGATGGCGATCACGGTCTTGATGACCAACGAAATGATATCGGACCAAAGTTTCCGGATGTTGACGCCGCTGCAAGCCAGCTTCCCCAGGATGCTGGAAAACGTCCGTTTGCTGCCGGTGTTGCCGCTGTCCGAGTGGACAAAATTCCCGCTGTGGATGTTGAGGGCATAGTTGGTCAAGTGCATGTAGACCTGGTGGAGATTCTTCAGCGACGGCTCCTGGTAGGGCTCCGTGCAGAAGCGGCAGAGCCCGTCCTTGGCCACGTAGACCTCCAGGGGGTCCAGCGACTTGAGCAGGACGTATAAACGGATGTCAAACTTCAGCTTGTCGATCAAGAAGGGCTTGGCCATGTACTCCTGGACCACGGCCGGCCTGCTCTGCAGGTTGCCCATCAGCCGGATCTCCGTGGGGCCCTTCACGAGGTAGATCCCGTCCCCCTGGCAGCCCCCGTCAGGCTTCACGATGAAGGTGGGTTTCCACCTGGGATTGTTCTCCTTCATCAGGTTGACCTGCCAGGGAAGCAGGAGGAGGAAGACAACGAAACTTTTACCCACTTCCAGGCCTCCCCTCCCCCCCCAAAAAACCTTATGTTTTAATCAGTTTTGGGGCAAATCCCATTTAATCCCCTTCCTAGCCTTCCTTGAAGATGTTTCGCTTCTCATCCAAGAAGCTTCTTCGGTTCTGACTGAAGTTCAGTCAAACTGAAGAAGCTTCGTGGATGAGAAGCGAAACATCTTCAAGGAAAAGTCCCGTTGCCTCTTGGAAAAAGCACCTTTGGGGCAGCCATGGGGCTGAGAATCTCCATCGGCCTCTCCGCCTGGTGTGTGCTGCCCCCTGGTGGAAGCATCACAAGAGGAATGTGGGGGGGAGAGTCAAAATCTTAGCTTTTAAGAGAAACCCCCCAACCCTGATGCCCTCCAGAGACATTGGCTGCAAATTATAGACCCAGCTTCAGTCAGAGGCCATGGCAGATATGGGCACAAGGAAACTCGGAAGCTAAAAAAACCCGGATCCTTGATTAATATTTGCAGCGCAACTCAGGTCCGACGTGACTCTCTGAGCATTGCCTGTCTCCCCATTAGGGCTCAAAGAACTGGCAGAGAATCATGGCTTCATTATTGGGGTGCTTGCAAAGCTCTTCAGAAACTCAGAAGGACTTTGGGGCATCCCTTAAAGCCACGTTTTCTCTGCCCTCCCCTTGGGCACCCTCTCGACACAACACCTAAAGACCAGGAGAAGAATCCACGAATTGTCCACCCAAAGCAGCTCCCCGAATCTTCTCCTTCTCAGGAATGGCTTCCCCATCCTTTCCCCACCTGCAAAACCAGCCTCACACCTGGTGTTTGTTAACCAGAGCCATGCCTTTCCCTCCAAGACAGATGGAGGACCAGATGTGTGGGGCTGTTTTATCAGCCATCTGCTGCTTGCTGCATCAAAGCCTGCAGAGGGGTGGGTGGGGGTGGGAGTGTGGACTCTGCTTCCAAGAAGGCGGGGTTGGGGGTGGGAGTTCAGCTGCCTGGGCCATAGATGCCAGGTGCCAAAACCTCTCCTTTGGGCACATCCAGAGAGCGGAACACACTCAGCTGTGGCTTTGGGATCATTTTAACGGGTGGAGTTTGGACAGAAGAGCAAGTTGAAGACGTGTGGACTTCAACTCCCAGAATTCCCCGCCCAGCTGGCTAGGGAATTCTGGGAGTTGAAGTCCACACCTCTTGAAGTTGCCCCTGGCCCAGACTCGTGAACGGTATCCCTAAAGCACCTCATCAGTTCTTCTGAACTAGAGATGATTTCCTGCTTGGGCAGCACCTGCAAAGGTGGCCCCGATTCCAGAACGGAGCCCAACAGCTCCTTTCGGGGACATCTCTCCACTTGCCAAACTTCCTCCAGGAAACGCAACAGTTCAACAGGGTTTCTATGACTTGTGAGGGTCCTACAACGGCCCAGAGGAAGAGAGCAGGCTGGACAGGCTGTCAGTGCCCTGGCATTAAACCCTCTTGGTGAAAAACGCCCCCCCTCCCAGCCAGGCCTTTGCACCCAGGCCAAAAAGCCCCCACCTACCTCAGTGAGAAAGATGGCAAACTCCTCCGGGAGGATCCAAGAACGGGGGTAGAAGTTATACTCTTCGGGGAAAAGCTCCTGCATTGTCCTCATGGCACGACTCAGGTTGACCTTCCGTGTCATTTCGGTCATGCCTGGTGGGGAGAGGAGGAAGCGTGGGCAAGGGCAGGTGCCCAGAATGCCCAGCCAAGTGCCAGAGAAGATGGCGCTGAAAGCCAAGATGCTCACCTCCAGGGGGCCGTTCCCAGCCCAGAGAAGCCCCATCTCTGCCTTCCGGATGGATGGCGGCTTCTGTAGCCTTTGATGACTCTTCCTTGCTGCCCGACCTATTCATTCTATTTTACTATTTTATCGATTGTTTGCCTGTTTAAGTAACCTTATCACCTGCCCAGAGGATCTATTAAGCTGATCAACTTAATGATGACAAATTAAACATATTGAACGTTAAAAAGTTCTCTGTCATAGAGCTGCGGCCCCTGCCGTCATGTCATATTGGGTAGGAGGGCTATTTTTTTCCTCTGGGATTAAACTTTCACAGCAGAACGAGCTTTGTAAGTTTGTGCCACCAGGGTGGAAATGTGCACAGCCCAATTTCTCATTTATTGATCTGTCTGTGAGATATTAAAAGATTCCCCTGCTTTTCAAAGTACCCAGGAATGGGACTTGGTTCCCGCTGAAGATTTTCTTCAGACCGAGTGGCTCACACTTTGCAGCCAGGAGAGGAAACAGCCTCAGAATTTAATTACACTTGGAAGGAGCGGCTTTTTTTTGCCAATTTGATCCCAGGGAAGGCCTTTTTATAGATCCGTGTATAGCACAATAAAGCAGAGGCAGGAACAGCGATGAGCCAGTAACGTGGCCCTTCCTTAGCTGGATTCAGGAAGAGATTAATGGTAAATCAGGGAGCTTTAAGAAGTTTAATAGCCCCAATTTCAAGGAAAGGTTGTGTTAAATTCCTCAGTGCTTAAAAGAAAATGGCCCATCGGAGAAATCTTTCTTGGCAGAATAAAGAGACAAGACGGCTTGGACTGGTCCACTGAGGGATGCCTCGGTTTTTCAGCAAAATCAAGTAACAGCAAATATTTATTAGCTGCACAGAGTCCGTGATTTATTTGGCCATGGCTTTCACCCAGAAATCAACTCCATATAACCATAGTGTTTCAGTTTGTTCCATTAAAATATTTGCTTCCGCCACAAAAACCAAGAACCAAAAGACTTTAGAGAAGGGACATAGTTCAACGATGGACATTTAAAACATTGAGAGGTGCTCTTGATGCCCTCTGAGCTGGGTTGTTTTCTTGCAGACGTTTCATGACCCAACTGGGTTACATCATCAATGCTAGAAGGGAGTGGGGTTTGCTCTCTGTCCTAGCACTCACCCACTCTAGTTGGGTCATGAAACGTCTACAAGCAAACAGCCAAGCTCAGAGAGCACCAAGGACCCCACAGTTCAACCCTGAGCTACAGATATTTTCCTGTACTGGTATTTAAAACATTATAAGAAATACTTTCTCCCCTCTTGAAAATGATCAGCAGGAAGTTCATCACAGACCTAAGTCAAGGGTTATGAGAGAAAGGCTGGCAATTGGCTTTTAGACTATTTTTGACTAGACTAAACATTACATTATTTCAGACTAGATTAAACATTCCTATTTTTGATGAGGGAGCTAAGGAAGGCCAACGGACATTGGAGCTCTGCAGGCATCCAACTTTTCAGAGGGGATCCAAGGGTGAGGTGGGCATTTTTGCGTCGTTTTTGCCAAGACGAACCAACCCTGGCTCTCGTCACAGGTCAGGTACCTGGAAATTTGTTGACTTGTCCCGAATAAATGACATTGTCGTGAAAGGAGACAGCGTGCCAATAGATGTCGCAGGGCAAGCGGCGACCAAACGGAAACTGGACCCGGCAGAAGAGAAGGAGACAAAAAGAGATCATTTAGCCGGAGTTCCCTGGGCGCACAGGCATATTCCTGGGGCAAAGATGGTCTACAGAAGAGGGAGATATTTTGCAGAGATTGCTCTGACATTGCTCCTCTCTTTTCTTTCTTTTTCTAATGAAAGAAAAGCATCAAAAACCTCAGCTTTATCAACAGCCAGCTCGGGAGAGAGAGCAAACAATTAATTAACACGCTAATTGGGCACGTGCTTTCATTCTCCGCTGCTTAATGGGGAACGGTGGCACCCACAACTGACAACAACAGCCACAGAGAAGGGGGGGATCTGTGACTCACTGCCTGATGCCTTGAGACTGGGGGGGAGGGGCGGGTGGAGGGGAGCAAGGTGGGTAGGGGAGACCTGCGAAAGATCTGTTTGCCCTTGGCACGGGGGGTGAGGGGGCCTGGAAAACAGATAAGTGGGGTGAAGGGCCCTCTATCAGCAGGGGTGCAGGTCCACAGGACCTCAGCCAATCTGCCTAGGTGACTATCTAGGTAACATCTGACTAGGTGGCTCAAGTGGCTAAGACACTGAGCTTGTCGATCAGAAAGGTCGGCAGTTCGGCGGTTCGAATCCCTAGTACAGGTCTCTTGCGTGAGCAGGGGGTTGGACTAGATGACCTCCAACTCTGTTATTGTTACTGCCTCTCCCAGACTGAGACAATGAGCAAGATGCTAACAGAACCCTTAGTTCTGCAACTCAAAGAATGAACAAAAAAGAACTCAACACACAAAAAATTCTATCAACCTGTTATTATAGAAAGGGAAATAGAGCCTGGACAACTGGACTAAGAGGATGGGAGGAAGAAAGACACCTGATTCACTTGCTGTCCAGTGAGCACCCAAAGTTCCCTTCCTCAAGGCCATCCAGACAGTCCCTGCCACCAGCTCCTTAATTCTAGAACCACCCCCAGGGAGCCTTCAAAGTATTAGAAGAGGACAAGGGAGAGGCGGGGAAAGGCAAGGAAAAAGCCAGAATTGGCCTTTCTTATCTTGGTTCCTCTTCTCTTTGATTTGTGACTTGTGTACACAGAGATTGTTTTCCTTCTTCCTTCCGTGGGAAAAATACCACACCACCCACCCACTCCCAGAAAGAAAGGGAGAGACTTGGAGAGGGATGGTTCAAGACACAGAAAGGAAAAACAGCATCCATATAACCCCGCAGCAGTAAATAAATACACACGGATGAAGTGTTGACATGAAACATGAGGACTAGACGCTTGAGTTTAACAAAGAAAAACAGAAGCTGAAAGCCCCACCCTTTCCAGGCATGCTTAAACAACAGAGGAGTGTGTGATGCAGGAAATTGCCACAGTGAATGTACAAATAAATGAATGGCCATTCTTTCTCAAAGTAACACACAGGGTCAAGGGGTATTTTGTGCAAGCGATGCTCAGAGATTGCCTTCCGCAAGGCACGAGCCCCCTCTCCTGGCCACAGAGCCCTGGATCTGAGAGTTAAGCAGGGTGGGGGGTGTCTCTCTGAGCTAATTATGCTAATTCCTTGATAACACCCTGCAAAGCCCGGTGGAGAATGAAGGTGTCGCCTTGTTGCAAAAAAAAGGATTTGGATTTGTCAAGAGAGGTTGGGGGGACCTCTCAGAAGTGCCACCCCTGGGATTAGCACAGAGACAGCCTGGCTTCCGCTCACACCTTTGCAAGGGATTTTTGCAAGCCAATCACTCGCATCACGTTAGCACAAAATCCTGTCTTAGCCGGATTTATTTCTGCTTCGCTCTCCAATATTACAGAAAGAGTTTTGGCTAGCAAAGGGCCCGAATTCTTCATTGCCAAACATGGATACTACAGCTCGGTTTTCTGATTCTGCCCCAAACTTTGATTTCTCCCCCACCCCTTTCCCCCTTCCTAAAGAGTTTAGGAAAATTGGGGACCCAGCCTGCCTGCTTTGGGTCTAGGAGCACTCAAACACAAAGCTTCGTTTTTTTTCTTTTTCTTGTGGCTCCATTGAGGTATTCTGGGAAAGGCTGCGTGGGCGCCTGGGGCCCTGGAAGTCATCATTGAAGGAAAGAGGGAAAGGACAGGACTGGGGCGCTGGGCAGCCCAGGACCAGCTACGGAGGCTCAAAAAGTAGCCCACCCAAAAGAGCCCCACTGCCTGGGAGAGACCAAGGCCTGCTGGGATGTGCTGGTCCCTCCTCCCCCCAGCCCTGTGCCCAGCCTGGCCCGCAGCCCCACAGAGGCCCTTCTGGCACCGCTCAGTGATGTCACAAACAGCTCTGTGGACACCGGGAAGGAGGAGGAGGGATGGCAGCTGCAGGAATGGGGGGGGCGGGCTGGGGGTCCCTGAAGACTTCCGAGGAGGGGGGGGAGCCTGGGGACCCATCCCAGCCCTGCCTTCAGCCCCTCCTTCTGGGCTCGCTCGCCGTCGGGGTCCGGGGGGCTCCCCGCGCGCCTTGCGCTCCGCCTACCTCCTTCCAGCGCAGTTGGCGCAGGCTGAGCTTGAGCGCCTCGAGCGAGGTGCGCGCCTTGGAGCTGTCCACCGTGACCGAGCGCGCGCTGCGGCGAGGGCGAGGGCGCGGGCGGGGCCGGGCCGGGATTGCCAGCGCCACCCCGGCGGCAGCCCCCGCCGCGCTGCCCCCGCCGCCGCCGCGCCGCCCGGCCTGGCCCCGCCGCGCGGCGCTCGGCCCTCTCCGTGGCGAGGAGGACGCGGCCCCCGCCGTCTCGGCCCGGCCCGCCTTCTCTGCGGCCCCGGCGCCGGCTCCGGCTTGGGCTGCGGGCGGCGGCGGCGGCGGCGGCGGCTCCATCCGACCTGCTCCGGCTTCTCCTCCGGCCGTTGCGCTCCCGCCGCCACCGGGCGCCGGCAGGGACTGAGCATGCTCCCCGGAGCTGCCCCGCGCCCCGGCCGGCGTCGCCCTTGGTTGCCCGGACGAGGCAGACGCGCCGCCGCTCCGCGCGCCGCCCGCTCGCCCCTCTTTGGGCTCGGAGCCCAGGCAGCCGCGCCGCCTTCAGGCCCCCCAGGCGCTTTGCCCGCTTGCGGCTCCCCGAAAGACCTCGCCCGCAGCCCCGCCAAACGGCCCCCCGCTTGCCCGTGGAGCCCAGAGGGGCTGGCGTTGCCCCTCGCTGCCCTTGGCACAAGTGACCTCGCCACCGTGTCCCTGAGAAGGGAGACCACTGGATTGGGCTGCCCCTTCTTCTCTGCCCCCCAACTTTTGGGGGAGATTAAGCTGGAAGACGGCCTGGCCTCGACCATCCAGTTTGTTTAATGAGAAGGAGGGGGGGGGCTGTTGTTGAACCCACATGAACCACAATCTCAGACCTCTCTGTTATTATTATTATTATTATTTGATTCAATTTGTATACAGCCCTTCTCCTAGTAGACTCAGGGCGGTGCACAGCCGGAACTAAAACACATACCAATACAAACTTTAAAATTATTAAAAGAATTACATACTTTGGCCCGAATTTAAAACAATTCGAATTAAAACCCACTGACGGATTAAAAGCTAAAAAACTAAAAAGCTTCTCAGCCTAGTGGTTCTAGAAGGTCGGAGTCACCTTTCTGAGGGGCAGCTTCTTCCAAACAAGGGCCTCCATATTTCGCAGCCGTCCTCTCCCCTTCTCTTCAGCCTCCAAGCCCGCATCTTGGGAAGGGGCCAGCTTGCAACGTGTTTGGCAAGGGGTCCACTGCACGGAGCCCCTCTCATCCCTGGGCCTTGGACCCGTCACACTGACCCACCCACCTCTGCAGACAACAAAGGAGGGGACCTTCTCAAGCTTCCTCTTGCACACATAGGAGAGAGAGAGAGAGAGAGAAATTCAATTCACCAATAAAGATATTCCCAAGATCCCTGTGGATTATTTCTCAGGCCCGGAAGCGGCTCCAGCCAAGAACAGGAACCGGGAAGACCTGTAGATGGTGCTGCAGCAAAGAGACACCCAAAAGGCTGGTCCTTCCCCAGCTCTCTCCTTCCCTCCCCCGCCCTCGAATAAGTAACACGGAGGGTAAAACCGGAACCCGGAAAGGCCTCCATGGCCGGGAAGAACCAGGGCATTGGATCGGGGTTGAGGGAGGGCAAAACAGAGAAACTGGCCTTTCTTCTAAGCTGCCTTCACTCAGCTTTTCCAGGTCGGTTCAAGAGTCCACAGCTGTGTTTGCACAACAAGCTTGATTAGTGGTAAGGGTGCAAATTCCATACCTGGCTTAATTCCGTAACCAGGTTAATTGTGTCATGCAAAGGCCGCCCCGGATAGTTTCGGATGTTAAGTGTCGGTATTGTATCCAGATACCTGCTATTTTATGCTTCGTGATATCTTTTGTGTGTATGTGTGTGTGCTATCAAAGTAATAGGGGTTTTTTTCAGTTTCTTTTAGAGGAGTTGAATAATTTTGACATCTTCCAAAAAAGCCACTGTGTCTCCTGCAGGCCTCCAGGGGATCCCAACTGGGCAGGCATGCCGAGAGAAGAAAACCTCTTTGGCTGGACCTCTGAATTTGATATTTATTAGGGCTTAACTCCATTCTACAGAGGAATTATTGAGTCTGTGAACTGCATCTCTATAACTGTCTGGGTTGGTTCTGCAGCCCAACAAAACAGATACAGACTTCAGAGGACTCTCGTCTTTTAAATTTTTAATTCGTGATTTTATAAATTGGGTGTTTTAATCTGTGTTTCGGCCAAAATATTTAATAATTTTAAGGGATTTTTAATATTTGTATTATCTGTATTTTATCTTGGCTGTTCACCACCCTGAGTCCTTCGGAGTAGGGCGGTATAGAAATTTGATTAATAAATAAATAAATAAATTAGAAGGGCAGAAAAAACCAATTACTACCAACCTGCCTTCCATTGGAGACCTGTATACTGCACAAGTCAAAAAGAGGGCTGGGAAAATATTTACAAACCCCTCGCATCCTGGACCTAAATTGTTTCAACTCCTACCCTCAAAATGACACTATAGAGCACTGCACACCAGAACAACTAGACACAAGGACAGTTTTTTTCCTGAATGCCATCACTCTGCTAAACAACTAATTCCCACAACATTGTGAAACTATTTACTAAGTCTGCATTACTATTAATCTTCTCATTGTTCCTATCACCCATCTCCTCCCACTTATGACTGTACGACTGTAACTTTGTTGCTTGGATCCTTATGCTTGATATTGATATTATTTCCTGTGATTGCTCTGACTATCACTAAGTGTTGTACTTTGTGATTCTTGATGAACATATCTTTTCTTTTATGTACACTGACAGCGTATGCACCAAGACAAATTCCTTTTGTGTCCAATCACACTTGGCCAGTAAAGAATTCTATTTGCAAGGACGGTCTTCATTTCGGCCCACCCATTCCCGCCACTGTCTTATACAAAGAAGCCGCAAGGAGCTTCATTTGCACAATGCATTCGGCCAAATCGGCCCCATCCTGGCTTGCTGTGACCTGGGCAGCCCTCTCTGGCCTCCCGGGAGCAAACTTGGGGGTGCAGGAAAGACTGCACAACAGAATCTCTCTGCCTTGTGCATTTCAGCCCCATTTAGTCTAACGTCTGTAGAAAACATAAACAACATGTGATGTACTTTAAATTATAGGTTATTATAAATTATAGCCCAGGAAATTATATTTCCTGGGTTGGGTTTTGTAGACTCAACAGTCCCACAATTAAAGCAAAAATGCTTGGATGGGGAAAAAAACAATTGTCTGGTCACGACAATTTTCACTTCCAAGGGCTAAAATGAAAAGGAGGAAAATGTTTGTTTCCACGCAACAAGCGGTCTGGGTATTTCTTGGCTCCCCAGGGGTGACTTACAAGGAAGCGATCAAAGTTGGGCAACTTCTAGCAGAATTGTGAGGGAGTCTTCACTGCAGGCCCCCTTTTCATCTAAAGGGCCTCCAGGAAGGAGTTGACAAATAAAGGGAGAAACAACAGAGAGAGAGAGGAACTCAACTTCTGGGCTTGAGGTCTCTGACACAACCGACCACAAAAGTGACAAACACTCTCGGGAGGGATGTGCAAGACTCAGTTTGTGTATTACGACAAACAAGCCGATGGGTTTAATGGGGAAGCCAAGGGAGGGGCTTCTGGGAACACTGTCTGGTCAACCCCAGGGGAAAAGCAATGAGAGGATGAGCTCGGAGGCCCCCAACATGCGGGAGGTATTAAGGGGGGGTTGCTTTTGACTTCCTACCCCAGACAGAAAAGGCTTCTTGTCTGAAACAGCTTGGAAATTTGGAGCTGCTTCTAAAACATTTCACTGGAAAAAATCCCTGCAAGAGGCAAAGAGGGGGGGGCGTTTGACTTGGGGGGCCCTGAAGGGCGCACCCCAGAAAGGTCATGGGGGGAGGCTGAGGTCCTGCTCGCCCCCCCTCTTGTTCTCCTTGAGACACCCCCCCCCCCCAGGCGGCGCTCCGGAGTGGAAGGAGCACCCCGCTGGCCTGGTACCTTGGAGAGCGCCGCGGCCCGGGCTCAGCACCGGCGGAAAGCCGGACCGGCGGGCGGGGCGCCTCGGAAGCCGACCCGGGGCCCGCCCGCCTCTTTCCCTTCCCGCCTCGCTCCGCCCCGACGTGGCGCATCACACGGGCGGCACCCGGGAGGAGCCACGGCTGCCTGGCTCGCCCTGTTTCCTGGCCGCCCGAGCGCCGCGCTCCTCGCCCAAACCCGCCGCTGCCGGGGCGCGCGGGGCGGCAAGAGCGGCTGGCCGGGCAGGGCAGAGCCGGGGCGGCGATGCGCTGGGGCCGGCCAAGCCCTCGGGAGCCCCGTCCGCCGCCGCCGCCGCCGCAAGATGCCCGGGAAGCTCCAGAACCGCTACAACCTGGTGGACGACGCGGGCGACGCGCGGCTGCCGCTGCACAACGACGAAGCCTTCCAGCACGGCATCCACTTCCAGGCCAAGGTGAGCGCGGCGCCCCCAGCCCTGCCACCTCCACTCCACCCGAGTCCCGGCAGCCGGGGCCCAGGGAGGCGGGCTAGCCTGGCACTTAGCTGGATCCGCCTGCGGGCAGCTAGCCGGCCGGCTGCGTCTGGAAAAAGCCGGGGGAGGAGGGGCAGGCTTGCTTGGTCACTGCTGCACTGGGGACGCCCGACGCCACGAAAAGGCAGCCAAGTTGGAACTAGAGCCTCTCTCTGCAGCCACAGTCTACCCTCTGGGCATCAGGTGGGATAGGAAGACTTACCTAGCCGCTTCCACGCCTAGGTGTGGCAACCGCCGCCCCACCACCACCCCTGCGCGGCTCAGATTGGAATCAGGAGGGTGCTGGGTGATCAGTCAACCCAGACCTGGCTGGCAAAAACCTGGTTAAGGAGCCCACCCGCAGTTGACTAGCCCATGTTGGTCTCCCTTCCCTGGGTGGAGCCAAGAAATTTTAGGGACCAGGAAGGGGGCAGGAAAACCAAACAGGTCCACCACACAGGCCGGATCTGGCTTTGCATAAACTGGTTTGTCCTGTTGGATGCTTTTTAAACCCTTATTTTAATGTCCTTAGATTTCAGAGTTTAACTGAGTTGGGCAGTTTCCCACAGAATTCATTAGCAGCCTAAATGGGAGGGGAAACCGCCCCCCGACCTCACCTCACCTTGCAAAACTGACCGCATGGCGAGGTCAGCTCCCTGGAGCTGGACACTTGGCTTCGGGGTCTCTTCGGCTGCAAAAATGTGGAGCCTTCCTGCTGGCACAGATCTCTTCATCAGCCCAAATGGAAAGGGAGTGGATTCTCTGATGAGAAAAAAATCTACTGCAAATATTAAAACACTGTAGAATCTATATTTGTATCCAGGGGGAGATTTAAAAAAAAATATATATGGGAAAATCGCTCCCTCAACCAGCAACATTCGGACACCAGTTTTGCAAAAAAGCCAAAATAACAGTTTTTGCTGATTTCAGCCTTATACCCCACCAGTTCTTGCAGTGGGTCAGGATGGGCACAATTTTGAATCGCTCCTCAGGGGCAGAATTTTCAGTGGCCAGCTAGCCACGCACTGTGGCATATTCCAGTCGGTGCAATCTTGCAGGATCTCTCAATGGGAGTGGAATTTAACCCTGTTGCCAGCAAGTTAGTCTCTCTCTACCTTGCCCTGAAGAAATATTCCCGGGTTTTAAATCTGGGTAGGCTGGGCTGCTTTTCTGAAGATGACCTGGTCAGGCTCTGCCTTGGCCTCCTTCCTCTGAAGGCAACGCAGGAGTTTGCTAAATGAGGAAGTGTCTGAAGTGGCCATTTTGGAGGGGAGGGAGGGGGGAGAGAGGGAGAGGGAGGGAGAGAGGGAGATGATTTAAGTGTCAGGGCTCAACCTTTTCAGCTCCTCACTTCCCAACTGGGCCAAAATCCTTTAAAAAACAAAACAAAGGCTGCCCTTAAATCCTGGGGACCCCACTGACCCTCCCTGCCTCCGTTCCCAACAAAAAGAAAAGCCCCTCATTTCTCAGGGGGCAAGGAGGGTCTCCATCTATGAGAAGCACAGGAGATGGGAAGGGGGGCAACTGAGCAGAAGACCACGAGGGAGGGAGGCATGGATGGGTTTCCCATTTTAAAGCTTCAGGAGATAAAAATACATTGAGTTAGCACTCCAGAGATGAAGAAAAGGGGGGGGGGAGGAGAGAAGAAGCAGATTTCTTGGCATGTAGGCCTTTTTGGTCTTTAATTAGAACTTTAATTAGAGCTTCCAACCCTTGTTAATTGTCTCAAACCTGGAACAAACTGCCCATATTTCTTTTTTCTTTTTTTTTTTTTTTAGATTGTTCATTAACAATCTAAAAGTGTCAACACTTCCTTAAGTGTTGTTTCTCAACCCAATTTGCAAGCCAGGGATCTCTTTGCTTTAACACAGACAAAGCCCTTTGGCAATTGCTCATTTCTGAGCTTGCCCTTTATGTGGCGCTCACCAAATATGCGGGACTACACTACCCATCGATGGCCAGGCGGCTGGAAAAAAAAAATAAACGATGGGAGTCTGACTCTTTATTATTTTATTTAATTTTATTTATTGAATTTGTATACCGCCCTACTCCCGAAGGACTCAGGGCGGTGAACAGCCAAATAAAATACATATAATACAAATGTTAAAAAACCATTAAAATACAATTAAATAATTGGCCCGGAAAACGAAATTTAAAACACCCCAAATTCATAAGACAAATTTAAAATTTAGAAATTTTAAAAATTGTAAAAAAGTTTAAAAGAGAGGTTAGGCCAGGCCGGCCTGCTGGAAAAGAAATGTTTTGATGGCACGGCGGAAAGCGCGCAGGTCCGGGATCTTCCGTATCTCCGGGGGGAGCTTGTTCCAGATGGCAGGTGCCCCCACAGAGAAGGCTCTCCCCCTGGGGGCTGCCAGTCGACATGGTTTGGCTGACGGCGCCCAGAGGAGCCCCTCTCTATGGAAGCGTACTGGTCGGTGAGAGGCTACTGGTGGCAGAAGGCGGTCTCGTAGATACCCCGGTCCTAAGCCTCTTCTTTGGGACCTTTGAATTCCGCTCTTTGAGCCACACGTGGCACTGAGCGGCAAGCAAAATTGGGGACTGGGGCAAGGAGTCTGCACCAATGCCCAGAGGCCTGGCAGATCCTGAAGGCAGTGAGGGGATCCCCATGGGCACCCAAGCCCCTTCCTGGGCTTTGGCACTGGGGTAAATGGCATCCCTCTCTCTCTCTCTCCCTCCCTCCCACCCCCCTCTCCCCCTCTAGTACATTGGAAGCTTGGATGTGCCAAGACCCAACAGCCGAATGGAGATTGTGGCCGCCATGAGAAGAATCCGGGTGAGTCAGTGTGGCCCCCATCCCCACCTCTCCTCCCTTGTGTCCTCTTCCCTGTGCTCCCCTCCCCAACCCCCATGGCCCTTGGAAGCATTTTCTGTTGGAAGGGGAGATGGGGAGGAAGACATGATGTTCCCAAATTCCTCTCCCTGAGAAGCAGCTGTGCCACTTTCTGCTTGGCCAGGCTCCCGCTCTCTTTGTTCCCGAGCCCATGGCCGGCCCCTCTTCCAGATCAGAAGGAAGACGGGAGGCAAGGGAAGGCAGCCAGGAACGGAGGAAAGGGCCGGAGGAGGTGGGCGGCCCTTTCGAAAGGCCAATTCTGGTCTCTGTTTCAAGGGGCAGGTCGCCTTCATTTTCTCCCCACACCCTCGTGGGTGATGGCACCCACAGCAGGTGGGCTGTGGGTGGGTGAGCAGCACCTGTTCTGGAAGGAGAGCGTGGCCTGCCCAAGGCTGTGCTGTACCACTGTTACCACCAGACACACTTTGGCACTGTTGAGGGGAGCAGGCAAACCGACAGAGGCTTGCAGCCAAGGTGTGGCCCACATTGGAGGCGGAGGTGGGAATAGAGTGGAAGGAGAGGCAGGCCACTGAAAGCTCAAGGAGAAACTGCTCCGCTGTCCTCATAAACTGGCCACCTGCCCACTCTGACCCTCGCCTCTGCTCACAACTCAGTCTCCAAGGACTAAAAGCCGAGTCCACTCTGGACAGGAAAATAGCCACAAGAACTTCAAGCTCGCAAATCCAACTCACCAGGAAGGCATCAAGTTGGGAGAGGCTGGGTAGAAGGACCAGAGCTGATGCCCTCTAACACAACCAAGGGGCCTGTTGGCTGCTGGCACTCTTCTTCTTCCTCTCGGTCGCTGTCCAGCTTCTGAACACCTTGCTGCTGAAGTTTGCAGGATTTAACCTGGTGGATCTTCTTTGCGCTTTCCAGGACAGTTGAACAGGGCAGGCTGCGGTTGGCCTTTCAAACAAATACCCACCAGCACCAAAACCGGAAAAGTCCTTCATTTGGTGCCTACAGTGCCATGCCAGCTTCTTTGGAGAAATGGTTCCAAGGAAAATTCACCGGTGTTTCTCAACCTTGCTCACTTGAAGATGGATGGACTTCGACTCCCAGAATTCCCCAGCCAACATGGATGGACTCCAACTCCCAGCATGCTGGTTGTGGACTTCTGGGAGTTGAAGTCCACCCATCTTCAAATGAGCAAAGTTGAGAACCACTGTTTGCAGCCCCCCTCTCCCTTGCCTCATTTGTCAAGACACGAGTGGGAGGAGCACGGAAGACATCTCAGGCCAAGTGTCTCCTTCTCCTGTGATTCTATTGGAGGCATCTGGCTGGCTTTTCTAGCAGACAGAAGGTGCCCTATGAATCTTGCAACCAACAGATTTATTGTGGCTTGTGCTTCCTTCCTTGATTCATACATCACCTTTCGGCTGAGCTGAAGAACAGATTTTTCACTGCAGGGAGAGGGAAATCAAGAATTTTAATTTCTCTTTCGCTTGTACGTTCAGTGGGGAAGAACCTGTTTTGCCAGAAGAAATACTTGAGCGGAAAGAAAAAGAATGCAAACCAAAATCCTATTGAGATGCCACCCACACAGGAGCTGGTTCACAGAAACCAATGATTAAGCGTGGAGAGCAGAACAAACCCAAAGGACGGAGGAAAATTCAACCATACCCAACACTGTTCCTACAACACAATGTCAAAACGATTCCTGCAGCAGGAGGAAAGCTTGGAAGACAAAATCTCTGGTTCCGCTGACCGACCCAGATTGGATCCTACAGTCTCCACCTCCTTAAAAAACCAGGATGTTATGGGGTTGCATGACTGATGGCACCAACTCTTTGGATGTGCCACCGAACTGCAGAATAAACCCGTGATTTCCCCCCCATGCATACACTTTCAAGATGGTCTTTTGCGAAGACCCCCTCCTTTGGGAGAAGTTGTCAATGGGAAACGGGGGTGGGTGGGGAGGAGGAATACATGCCCAGCCACAAGGCTAAACATTTTCTCCTGGTGCAGATGCTGTACCACCCCCGCAGAACTGGGAAAGCTGGGAAGCCTGCAGAGCAGAGATCAAAGGCGCTGGTTTTCTGAGCGAAACCCTCCCTTGGAGAAACCAGGAGGGAGGAAGTGTCAGAACTCGAGAGAGAGAAAAGGGGAAGAATCAAGCGGAATGCAAATGTGGCCGATAAGAGCTGGTTGTGCCAGGCTACGCTGTCATTAAAGCCAAGCTAAGCCTGAATTCGAATGTATTTTTAAACGGCAAGGCCTCCCTTCGGATTATTATTAGCTGCCTGGAGTTGTCGAGCTTTCTGAGCTGAAATTAAGCCTCCTTCTCCCTGCGTCTCCTGACTTGTCAGCGATGGCAGCTCCGTTCTGACTGGCCTGGAATATTAAGCAGAGGGGAGAGATGCCCCCTTGGAGCGCCTGGGCATCTGTTCCAGATGCAGTTTTCCCCCTCCTCTTTCCTGACGATGCCACCCACCCTCTGAATGGTGTCCTCCGTCTTCCCCTTGTGGCACAGCCGTTCTCTGCACCTCCCACTTTTGATGGTGCTGCCAATCTGCCACCCTGGCGCCAGCCGAGGCAGCGACCTTCCTCCTGAAAAACAAGGGCTCCCAGGGAACCTTTTCCTCTTCGAGTCTCACTGCAGCTTTTGATTTATGTATGGTCTGGTTTGCTACATCCCCAACCGACAAACTGCCCTGAATACAAAGACCGTGAAAAGCCCAAATCTCGCGGCTCCTAAAAATCAATAGGACGACTTTGAAACCGGATTGTGCAAGTGTAGAGCTGGGGAGAGGGCAGGGCTCACTTAATGACTGCATGATTCACTTGATAATGGCAGAGATTTGCTTAACACTCGTGGCAAAGAAAGTCGTAAAATGGAGTGGAGTGGAGTGGGAGGGTTGGGGGCTGGCCTATCTCTTCACAACCGCCTCGCTTAGCAAAATGGAAATTCTGGTCCTGCTTAAAAGGCCATAAGCCGAGGACTTCCTGTGCCCAGGCTGCTGATGGCGACTCTCCTCTCTCCCCGCAGTACGAGTTTAAGGCGAAGAACGTGAAGAAGAGGAAAGTCAACATCGTGGTCTCGGTGGACGGGGTGAAGGTGCTGCTGAGGAAGAAGCCGAAGGTGGGTGGCCTGGCCTTGGGGAGCCCAGAGGTCAGCGGAGCAGTGCCCCAGGGTGATCCAGGCTGCTGGGGTGGATTTCAGGGAATTCTCTAATTCAAAGAGAGATCCTGGGCCTTTATCAACTGACCCCTGTCCTGTCCCCCTGGGCAGAGGAGAAAGGAAGCCCAGAGGTTGCTCTTGCAGCTCCTCTGAGCTCCCATCATCCTTGCCAAGGGGTGGGGGGTCTCTTGCTCCCCTCGACTCCTGGAGAATAGGGGGTGCTGCATGGCTGCCAAGCCCAAAACAGCCTGCCCCGCTAACGCCGTCTCTTCTCTCAATCTCCTTTCCAGAGGAAGGAATGGTCGTGGGATGAAGGCAAAGTCATGGTGATGCACGACCCCGTCTATCAGTGAGCCTCTCGCGTCTTCTTGCCTTTCCATGCCCATCACGGTGCCCAGACAGAAGTCCCTTTTTTTTAGTGCCACTGCAGCAGTTGCTAAACAAACTGTCATAAGTTGAGGACTATCTGTAACAACACAACACTTAACTTGGGACTGAACAGCCACGCCTATACATCCGCCCCAGGGGTGAAATCCGCTGGATTTCTGGAGAACCGGTAGCGGAAATTTTGAATAGTTCAGTGAATCGGCAAATGCCACCTCTGGCTGGCCCCAGAGTGGGGTGGGAATGGAGATTTTGCAGTATCCTTCTTCCGGGAATGGGATGGGAATCGGGATTTTGCAGTATCCTTCCTCTGCCACGCCCATCAAGTCACGCCCACCAAGTCATGTCACGCCCACCAAGTCACGCCCACAGAACCGGTAGTAAAAAAAAATTGAATTTCACCACCGACCTGCTCCCTTCCATGGGGAAGGAAGGAAGTGCACTGGAAAGGACCGTTGAATCGTTGGGTGTTACATTCCCCGATTCAAGGATGTCCAGGGTGTTTAGCTACCCAAGCTGGTGACCACATCTAGGAAGACCAGGCATCAACCCCAGAACCTCTGGCTCTGGAGGGGATAAGGGACCATAGTTTTTGAATGTTTGGAGCGGTTGAGTTGTTGAGTTGCTCTCAACCATGGCAGCTTGAAGATGGGTGGACTTCAACTGCCAGAATCCCCCAACCACTGATGAGTTAAAATCCTCGCATCTTGAAGTTGCCAAGGTTGAGCAAGGAGGAGATAAGAGAAGATTTGCCTTAAGATGACTTTGTACCCCTCTCTCTGGTCCCACCTTCCCTCAGGATCTTCTACGTCTCCCATGACTCCCAAGATCTCAAGATCTTCAGCTACATCGCCAGGGACGGCACCAACAACTCCTTCCGCTGCAACGTTTTCAAGTCCAAGAAGAAGGCAAGGCAAGCTGGGCCAACCTGGGCTACCTCGTGCCAGGCCTTGGCTCCTGCTAACCCGCTATCTTCCCGCAGACCCAGGCGATGCGCGTGGTGCGGACGGTGGGCCAAGCTTTTGAGGTGTGCCACAAACTCAGCCTGCAGCACGCCCTCCAGAATGTGGACGGCCAAGCGGACGGGGCCAGCAACAATTCTGCCGATGTCGCTCAGATAGAAGGTGAGACACTGAGGGGACCTTTCCCGGATCATAAATCTGGAGAAGGTAAAGAGGACTCATCTCGTCATCTCGGGCTTCCTAAAAATGGAGGATGAGAGATGGGAAAATAGGCCTCTCCCACTGCAGACGTAAAGCAAATTCAAATGGCTGCAGGATGACCTTTGATCCATCCAGAAATTACATTGCCTGCAGCAGATAAGTTGAGACACATCTGAATTAGCTTCTCTTACCCAAGGTCAACCTGTCTAGATGAACGGTAGATAAGCAGTCCAGCTCTCTTGCAGGAAGTCCCAAAGTCACCCAGTCTGAATCTACTCCAGATTCCTCCTCCTCCTCCTCTTCCCTAGGCTGGGAAGGGGTTTCTCTGGAGGAACAACTCATACATTACCTTGAAGACAGCCCCCTCCCCTTTCAAGGCGATCCAGAGCCCCCCAGTGCCAGAATGCCATCTGGGTCTTACTTTTTCTGCCTTGGTTGTGTCCCCCCGAAGGTCTCCAAGGGCTGGAACCAGCCTTGGCTGACCGAGACCTCGGCTTGGCCGGGTCAATAGGTGTGTGCCTGCCCGACTGCGGGGTCTGCGAGCTGCCTTTCTCCGTGCCTGACCTGGGAGAGCTGAAAAATGGGCTCAGCCCCAAGGCGAGGGACGGCCAGGTGGGTGACTCCTTGGGGGGAGCCATGAAAATGAATCAGGAAGGCTGGATCCGTGGGGCTTCCTGGGAGGGGGGGTGCGAAAGGAGCAGCTCCCATTTCTGGTCTTTTTCTGGCTTCCAGGAAAAGGAGAACGGTGGTCTCCGGCCCTCCTCTGCCCAGCCTCTGGGCAGCACGGGGAGCCCCTCTTCCTCTGCCTCGACCACCCCACTCGCTTCCCAGCACTGCCTGCAGCTGCTCCAACACCAGCTCCTCCAGCAGCAACAGCAGACGCAGGTGGCCGTCGCACAGGTAAGCCTTCTCTGTCCTGGGTGCAAAAGTTCCCAGGCCTGGTCCCCCGTCCTCTTTTCCTCTGGAAAGGCTCTGCTCCTCCGTTACGACCGCAATTCACTTGGGTCACCCCTGAAGGAGGCTTCCGGGGAGCCCACCAATTTGGCTTGTGGAACTCCCGGCAACAAATGATTCTGTGGGAGCTGCGAGTCCGAACGGGGTTCCCCGAGGGGCGACAGAGCAGAGCCTGCAGGGACTTCTAGGGTCGCATGTCCTGATATGAACATTATAGCAGACAGTATATAAATCTTCCACCTGTCCAAACTGCAAAGCGAGCTCCAGCTGCATTCCAACCGGGTGCCCCACTACAACTCCCGGCCTGCGCGCCTGGTGCAACGTCCCCGATTAGAACCTGCCACCTCTAGGCATTGTCTGCTGGGGCAGCGAGGAGGAGATGCCTGGCATGCAAAGCCCCACGTCCCATTCCCAACAGGTGCAGCTTCTGGAGGACCAGCTGTCTGCCGAGACCACGGCCCGCGTGGAGGCCCAGGCTCGTGTCCGCCAGCTGCTCCTGACCAACCGCGATCTCCTGCAACACGTCTCCTTGCTGGTGAGGCAACTGAAGGAGCTGGAGATCAAGGTGCAGCTGCGGCGTCCAGGTGAGCAAGGGATGGGTGCAGGTGAGGTGGTTAGCTGTCCCTTGCCACCTGCTCCTTGGGAGCAAGAGAACCGAGGGGCTCAGGAGATGGAAGGGAGAAAGACAGGCGGGAGTGGAGGTGCAAGGAAGGGAGGCCACCAGAGATCAGGTCAGAACAAACCTGGCTACCCCGGAGAAGCACCTTCTTACAATACGGCACGAACCCTGCTGGCCTCCAGGTGTCTCTGAACCATGCCTCTCCCCTCTCGTCTCCAGTTGAGCGTTCCCTGCAGAACCTGAGCTCGGAGCACCCTCTGTCCCTCAACCTGAAGGACCACTACAATCTGGAAATGAACTTGTCTTCCACCTCAACACCAGCCAGCATAGAGGGCAGCCCCATGACGCATCTGGCTTCTTACAAATCCCACCAGAACTTGACCAACTTGGAGATGGGTAGCAGCCTGTCTGGCAAGCTGGAGAAAGAGGAGCATCTGGCGGTTCTGGAAGGGCCTGACGGACTCCGCTGCGTGGAGGGATCTGAGGTGGATGAATGCAGTGCACCCAATGGAAGCACTCAACCCACTTGCCGTGGTCCAGACGCCGTGATGCTGAGGGAAAGGTAAGTTGTGGTGGTTCTGCTTTGCGCTGACCCAACCAAACTGCAAACTGCTTCCTTCTCAGGTTGAGGTTCCACACCCAACCACGACTGGTCTTGACTCTGACCCGCTTCCCCTCCTCATTTGACAGATTGCAGCTGTTCATCCCCAAGCTGAATCCACCTCCACCGTCCCTGCGAAGGAGGTCAAGTAAAACCATCTCTCCCTCCTCGGAGGCAGAGAAGATTGCGGCAGCTTCCAGGGCCGCCCCTGAACCCTCCGTGCTCAGCAGCCCAGGCGTCTTCTCTAGGTCCGAGTCTGAAGCCAGGACGGTGGGAGGAAGCCAGAACTCCAGTGCCCGTGCCAAAACCCAAGACCAGGAGAGTCTTGGGCAGCCAAAAGAAGCCCATCCATGGGTGGAAGCAGCTGAGAACTGGGATGCCCCACGGCCCTTCTTGAGCATTGATGAAACCTGCCTGCACATCAGTCTGTCCGAGGATGAGCTTGACCGGAAGGGCAGCTGTGTTGCTCACGCATAGAAATGCTTGAGGGACAGACCGTGGTGGATCGCTCTGCAAGACAGAAATCCTGAAATGGATCCATTCAAGTAACCTGCAGAAGTTGGGCACTGAAACCGTTGTCTCCTTGCAACTTGAAGTCTTCCACCTCAGAAGCAGGCGTCTTCCTCCAGATACCATCTGAAGGCTCCTAAAAAGTTTCTCCCAACTTCTTGGTGCGGTTGACTGGTTTGCAGACTGTGATACCCTTGTAAGCAGTCCATCGGGACACATTCTCACCATCTTCAACTGCCTCAATGGCTGAGCAAACGGCCCTGCCAGAAATTGCTCCCAAGGCTTGAAGGACATCAAGATGTTTCAGAGGTAAAGAGGACAGGACAGATAATTTGCATGTGGCTTAGATAATGCCAAAAAACCCCAGGAGCTTCTACCATTTGGTCAACATCTGAGAGAAAGCTAGCTCTAGTTGAGCAACGATTTCCAGGTGTCTCCCTGGATTCATGCAGGTTGCTCTCCACAAGTCTGTAGGACGGAAGCTGACTCCTCCTGAACCAGTGAATTTGGAGCTGAGGGGGACACACCAGTGCTAGGATTTTGGAGCTAAAGAAACCTGGTGCCCCCCCAGAAGTCTCTTTCCTCCCTGTCTCCGTTATCAGCTGAACTTCTGGGGTTCTACTGGTGGAGATGGGGGGCGAGAGAATCAGGAGAGAAGCTGGTGCTTACAAAAAAAAAAAAGAGAGAGAGAGATTTTATTGGGTCCAAAGACATAGATTCTGCAGAGATTCAGGAATTTGGCCCAAGTAACCGGAATCTGAGATGCTCACACCTGGGCTGAAGGCCATGTGGGGTGAGCAGAGGCTGTCATAGCTCCCACCACCAGCCTAAGCCCCCCCCCCATCAATACCAGGGGGGGATAAACACCCACCAGCAAGGACTTGCATTTCAAGCGTGTGGTTCACGTAGAGCCCCAAAGGATGAAAATTGCATGGCTGATGACCACGAAAAGAGAGGGGGAGTCCAGAGCATGTTGCCAAAAGGATCAGGGGAGGGGAGCACCCCCCAAGGATTAGAAACGAGGCCTTCGTAGTAAATGCCGGGCAGACACGCACGAAGGAGCTGACCAAAGGGATGGAACTGTGCGAATAGTTGCCACGCAGGAATGAGAGAGAGAGAGAGTGAGAGAGAGAAAAGAAGAGACTGGGAAGGAAGGAAGGAAGGAAGGAAGGAAGGAAGGAAGGAAGGAAGGAAGGAAGGAAGGAAGGAAGACTAGGATTGCACTCTGTGTCAAGCTATCCGCAGTCGGGAGGCAAGATGGCAGCTTCACAGGGACAACTGGGATTGCCCACCTCCGGACATAAACCCGTCCTCCCTACCTCCTGTGCCTGCAGCACAGACTGAACATTTTCTGATGCTGCCAATAATAGAGAGAAGAAACACAAACGCCACACCTGCATCTGCAACACACACACAGGCTGTGTGAAAGCTACCCCCAAGGCAAGCTGTAGGTTCAGGGGTGCGAATCCTGCCACTACAAGCCTGGGAAGCTCCTGGCTGCCTTCGGCAACCCAGCAGCGTCCTTCCTTCCTCCCCAGGACAAAAAAAGAGGCCTTAACTTCTGAATCCGAAGCCAGCTACCCACCTTCTCTCTGGGTTCCTCTTTTTCCTCCCAACGGGAGGAAAAAGGCAGAAAAGGTGCACGGGGAATGCATTGGAAGCATTCTTCACAGCCACCTTACAAAAGAAGAATAAAATCGAGAATTGGTGTGCAATATAACACACACCACTTGCGATGGCGGAGTGACGACTGAGGCACCGAGGGCCCTGTTTTCGTCAGCCACGGCAGCCCCCAGCCTCACAGACCCCCCCCCCCCGGGGGGGGGGAGTTTCAGAAGGAGAGACAAAATCCATCTTGGTCCAGGCATCCATCCAAAGGCCTTGAGGATTTTGGCCCAAATCCAGATTTCGAGCCAGGTCCTCTTGCCACAAACAACCTCACAAAACCTGCTGTAAGAAAGAGCAAGCTGGAGAGAGAGACGGAAAAAGGGGTTGGCGAGAGCAGCCGGGTGGGGGGGGATGTGGCTGGCCAGCGTTTCCCGAGGGTCTCCTGCCCTTGTTGAAGAGTTTCACCAAATCGAGAGGGGAAAACGGTTGAATGTACGATAAAAAACCACTCATGTTTCCAGGATGATAAATGTAATCCCAAATTCTTTTCTCCTTCTCTTCTTGGCGCTGTCTTTTGGGGACGGGGAGGGCCTGGGGGGTGGGTTTCCTGTGCTTTCAACATGCTGCCTTTGACCCAGACGGCAGTTTTAAGTTCCCCTGTGGATAGATCTGAATTCTAGCACTTGATCTCTCCGATAAGGCCTGCTTTCCTTCCAGATAACCCTCTTCCCACCCCAAGAGCCCCCCTACATAAACACACGTACATTTCCCACATCACAAACCCTTTAACCTCCTCCGTTTTAAGCATTGTCTGGGCATTCTGTTAAAAAAGATTTTAGAAGATTTCTGGGGCTGGGCAAATGCGTGCCAGCCTCAACGTTGCCAACACATCCTAAGCTTCCGCTCAAAGGAATAAATTCTGGTGCAGAGACTTGTGGAGAAACAACCGAAGCAATTGTGCAGAGGGGTTACGTGGGAGCAAAAAATGCCCACTAACCACGAAAGGAAAGTTTGGGGAACCACTTTTGCTTCTCCCAGCTCCATCTGGCCTACCATCTCCTCCTCCTGCGGGCATCAGTTCAGCCCGAGTGCCAACTCCATACGTTCGTTGCCCGATGGATTTTAGCAACTTCAACCAACCATCCACAGAAGCTGGAGCTACCTAGCAAGGCAGGGGGCTTTATGGGCCACTTCAACTCTTCCTTTTTGGGGAGGGGGCTCAAAAAGGGAAATCAATATCAAATTGAGGAATGAAAGTTGATATTTTTCTGGCTGCTTTCCCTTCAATGAAATCCTGACAATTAAAGTCTCAAACCAGACCCAGGAATTGTCCCATTGTTTTCTCAAACAGAGAAACATGTGAGAACACGCCACTTAGGAGTTTTCGACGTTTCCCCTGCAGGTCTCAAGGCAAGGATTTGGGTTCGAGTTTCACACAGTCCTCGCCTTCGATGCTTCAAAGAGCATCTTGGGATGGGCTGATGGGAGGGGTCTAAGTCAGGCCAGGGGAAAAGCTAAGCTGCTGTCCCCCTCCGCTTGATGGCATTTGGAGGGGTATCCCCACTTTTTCACTGTTTTCCCAAGAGTCCCAGGATGCAAATGTAAGCCTAGACATCTGAAATAAGCACCCACGTACATACAACCCTAGACTGGGCTCAAAGTCATTGAGTGGCCTCGAGTCATCCCAGGAGCACCCAGGACTGAAGTTTTGAGACTTAGAAGCTGGTCATCTCAGCCACTACACAAGCTGCCATTTTGGACTATAACTCCCATAACTCCTGACCACGGACCAGGCTAATGAGAGCTGCAGTTCCCACCCACCCACTCGGGTGCTCGAAGGTTGTCCTCGCTTGTCCCCAAACAACATCGGGCTTTCTTAGCTCCCACTTTTGAAGGCGTCCATCCAGGAACCAGGCTGCTGGTTTAAAAAAGGAGGTGGGGGGAGGAAAGGGGGGGGATCCTGCAGCTTCCCCCTCCCTCCCTGTGTGAGCACCGCTTGCCTTTTACAGGGAATGCCCGGCAGAGGGCAGCACCGCTCCAGGTTCTCCTAATGCCAGGTCTGGATGGAAACGGACGCCTTTGGATCTGGAGAGTAGATGCGAATATTTTGGGGCCTGTCCAGCAGGATGCGACCCAGCCCTCTCCGGCCACCATCCTGGTCTCCTCCCTACTCCCCGCCAGCACGCGAAGGACAACCGAGCCTCTTCCTGAAGGAATTTGGCCTGGGTTCCCGACAGACCGTGAAAACTTGCTCGTCCGGTTGGGATGTTCTTAAAAACACAATGGGTTGACTGTTAGACTTGGCACAAACGCCATTCTCAGCATGCCAGCCCTTAGAGCGAGATGCTGCTGGACCGTTGGGCCATCTGCCCTCGGCCTTGTCCTTTCCACAAGCAGAGGGAGCTTCCCAGACAGAATAACAGAGTTTGGGGGGGCCCTTGGAGGTCTTCTAGTCCAACCCCATCGTCAAGCAGGAAACCCTATCATGAGTTGCTTCTTTTCCCATCAGACTTCCAGATTCTGCATCGGACCCCGGAGCTCCTTTATAATAAGCAGGAGCCCCCCCCTCTCCCCCCATCAGCTGTGGATCCCTTCAACATTTCCATCGCCGGTGGAGACAACGGCTGCTCACAAGCTGTGCCGGCCACTTCAGCACAGGAACCGCAAACATCAACTGAGGATGTCCCAGAGTTATTCCATTGCAAGATGGGCAGCAAATAAATTCAATCAATCAATAAACTGTTGCCATCCCCGATTTTCCAGCCTCAGCGGCAACTTAAAAAAAAATAATTCTTCATGAGATATTTTCTTTCGTTTTAGATATGACCATTTTTTTTCCTCTCTGGGTCCATAGGAACGAACGCCACCAGATTTCATTTCTACACAACCACCAGTTGTATCTGAACCGGGGAAATGTGGTGGACAGAATTAACCTGGATTTCCACCCAGCTTCAAATGATGGTCAACTGTTGGCTCAGCCAGTTTACACAACCAAAATGGAGGTCCTGTAAGACAAAAAAAACCCCAAACCTGATAAACATCCAGCTAAAATCTAGCTAGGATGCTGGAAGGAGCCTCACCCGACGGTCACACAACATCCAGAGCAGACTCCAAGATCAGCCATGGGGAGGGCGGGAGGAAGGACAGGGTGGGCCTGCGTGGCACAGTCAGGAGTTAGAATATGACTGCCTTATTTTCCAGTTCAAATGTGAAAAAGCAGAGAAGGAAAAGTGAGTTTTGTGCACCTTTTCCACCCTCCCCGTCCAGAAACGAAGAGCTCATTGCAGGTCAAACAGAGACATGATACGATCTAATACGCGGCTACAGATAAATATGTCCACATAATTTCATTATCTTTTCTTGCACTGGGAAAGAAAAAAAAAAGGAGCAAAATTCATCCAGGATAAAGCCACTCAACATTGCAGGTGGTAAAAGATTCCGAGCCCTCCCAACAATGCCGTTGAGTTGGTAACCTGTGACTAAAATCGGCGCTGGCTTTAATTTCAGAGCCTGCGTTGGGGGCGCGCGTGCTCGTTAATCTCTATGCAAAGCAGTTGAAATGAATATGCAGCGTTCGGGAGATGTAATTGTACGGCTTCCATTCAGGCACTGTAATTTTCCAGACAGGATCCTGCAATCAAGATTCTATTCATTAGGATATAAACAATTTGGTTTCTCTTAGCTCTCGAGTCTGCCAATCATTTTGCTGGAGTGAGCATCTCTGCTATTAAAAAAATAAAAAAAACACAACCCAGAAGGGAAAGTTTCTTTTGTGTTTAAAGGGGGTAAAAGTTGTCGGCAACTTCTGATAAAGATGGGTGGGGGGGAGCTGGAGGGGGGGAGGGGGGGAGAGGAGACAAGGAGAGAGAGTTGGAATCTCATTGTTCTCCAAACCACTTGTCCCTCTGTTGGACTACAGTTCCCATCAACTCAATCCGCCTGGGGAGAGGCTTTGACGCATCCTTTGTCTGGTTCTGACAGGCTGGGCCAGTTTGCTAACAAACACACATACACACCCAGGAGCCCCTTCCTAGGGCAACACAATCTTAGCTTTTTAGCCCCAAGAATTTGAGAATAACACACAAGTAGCACCTCTACAAAAGGCCACCTCTGGAGCAAAAGGCATACCTGGTCTTGAAGGCATTTTGTCACAAAAGGTCAGCTGGAAAATGCAAACGCCAAATGCTAACCGCACCCTAGGTTTGCCAACGCCTCAAAGTTTCTAGTCCTTATGGCTGAAAAGAGAGGATTGGAAATGTCAACACAATTCTGGGAAGATGTTGGCTTAGAGAAGGGCTGCGCTGGAGATTTTTCCAGGGAGGGGTGATGTCAGAACTTTGCAAAGCTTTTTTGCTTCCCAAATTAAGATTTACGACCAAAAACGTATGAAAAATAGCCGTATGCAAATATCCTTTATTTGCTGGGCCCACATAGGTGAGAAGGATCCATTCCCCCGCCACCCCCCACCCCCAACTGGGGACTGTTACTGGAAAATTCTTAGAAAAGGAACGTTTGAACAGTGCAACCAGAGTCCTTCTCACCCCCCCACTGCCACTTACCACACAAGTTTATCTAACCTGGCCATTCACAGCACTCCTGAATGGCAGAGACTTCAGGACATGGTTTGTACAATGTCAAAACTCAAAGTGACACAACTGAATTGACACTCGGTGAATTGTGACTTAGTGCCAAGATACAGGCCCCTTATGGTATGCGCACAAGTGTTGGCCATGAAAGATGGTTACAGGGAAAAAAACAACAACCTCTTGCTAGGAGAAGAACGAGGATCATGACTAATGCAGGCCAGGAATGATGGGACTTGTAGTCCTCCCCTCCAAAGGGGTTCTCCGCAGACCCTGCTTGGGCGCATCTTCCAGAAACTACACAATGGCTGGCTGGCGGGATCGGCTAAGCCCCCCTTTTCCAAATGAATATTGACAGAGCTAATTGCGGTCTGCTGCCAAGAATGATGGTTTGTTCCAGAGTAGCAGGGTGCAGAAAGAGAGAGAAGAGAAGAGAAGAGAAGAGAAGAGAAGAGAAGAGAAGAGAAGAGAGGGAGAAGAGAAGAGAGGGAGAAGAGAAGAGGAGAGGAGAGGAGAGGAGAGAAGAGAAGAGAAGAGAAGAGAAGAGAAGAGAAGAGAAGAGAAGAGAAGAGAAGAGAAGAGAAGAGAAGAGAAATGCTGCTTGGTCTCGGACTCCTCCGGAGCTGGCGCAGTCCTGGAACGCAGCAAGACGCTCCCCGGTGGGCACAAGCGGTGCAGCCCCCAACCAGACTAATTGCTTCCTGATTGTCTTCTGGCCACCCACCGGGTAAAATAGAGAGACCAAGTTTGTCTGGCACATAAGTAAGCACTCCACACCAATTTGGAATACGGTAATCATCCGCTGCGCCGTCTAATTAAAATCCGATCACTTAGGATAATTATTTCATATCCTAAGTATCAGGTTAGGGGCCAGAACTTGGAAGAACAAGCTGTGGGGAGGAGGGGGGGAGAGAGGGAGAGAGACACCCCAGAAGTGCTACCATCCCCGATCCAGAGAGAGGAATTCTGTGGCTTTCCACAGCCTGGTCAAGCCTGCACGAGGGCACCTTGGCTGGAAAGCGGGCATCCTCCAGCTCTCGCATCCTACGGTAGCAGAAGCAAATTAAAACCCGACTGGCGAAGGAACAGGGGGTGCAAATTAGAACACTTATTAACATGGGACAAAATTACAAATTAACATGTTACAAAAAAAGATGTTGAAACTTTGGGGAAAGTGCAGAGAAGAGCAACTAAGACGATTAAAAACATACGACGAGCAGTTGCAGGATTTGGGTTTGGCCAGTCGAGAGAAAAGAACGAATAAGGGGGACATAATAGCAGCATTACAGTATTTGAGGGGCTGCCACAAAGAAGAAAGGCTCAACTTATTCTCCAAAGCACCAGAAGGCAGGACAAGAAACAATGGATGGAAACTAATCAAGGAGAGAAGCAACCTGGAACGAAGGAGAAACTCCCTAACAGTGAAAACAATAAACCGGTGGAACTGCTTGCCACCAGAAGTTGCGGGTGCTTCATCACTGGAGTTTTTCAAGAAGAGACTGGACAACCATTTGTCTGAAATGGTAGGGTCTCCGGTTTGAGCAGGGGGTTGGACTAGAAGACCTCCAAGGCTCCTTCCAGCTCTAGGCCGAATGCACGAGCCAGTGTCACAGACTGCAAGGACCGCTGATGTTTCTCACACTTGTGCTACAACTGCTCCCACAGGCAGAGCTGGAGAAGCTTCAGATGCTGAGGAGAACATCTAGATTTCACCCCTGAAGGGTGGATGGACAGATTCTTCCTCAGTTCATTTAGGATGGCTTCTAGAGATCAATTCTAGAATCCATCTGACCTGGGTGGAATCTGGGCATCACTTGGGAGATCTTGCGATAATGTATGACTAAGGCCAGGGGGAGGCTTCTCAAATAAGTTGCTTCTACCTTCTCTGGAGAGATCTGCAACTATGGATTTCGGAAGCCTCAACCAACCGACATGGGGAAGTAGCCCCAACCAACCAGGAAGACAAGCTCACAGCACCCGTTTTATTTGTGTATTGTCCAGTTCCCAAAATCCTGATCCAGCTCTGCAGATCTACCAAGTGCTCACAAGGCAACACCAGTAGATTTTGCCCTGTGTTGGATCAGAATAACACAAGAACAGAACTGGCAGGGACCTTGGAGGTTTTCTAGTCAATCTAATATCCTGCTCAAGAAGACCTACCACCATTCCAGACCAGTGGGTGTCCCAACTTTTCTTGAAGACCTCCAGTGTTGGAGCACCCATAACTTCTGGAGGCAACTCATTCCATTGATTCATTGTTCATTGTTCTGTCACGGAATTTCTCCTTAGTTCTGGGTTGGTTCTCCCCTTGACTAATTTCCATCCGTTGGCTCAAAAGAGGTCTCCCAATTTTCCTGCACTGGAAAATCCCAGTTGTATGCACACACGTTAACCTACATATCTCCAAACAACCGAGTACTGCAGTCGTTGGTTGGCCAATGAAATGGACACATGGAGGCATCTCTCGTCCAACGCTTTGGCCAAGGAGAATTTCGCCGCAATGGCGATCTTTCCTGGGAAGACTCACCAAAGCTTGCCAAAAAATCCAAAGAGGAGATGGACAATGCTAGAAGTTTTGGGCCCCAACCCAGCTGCCTCTCGCCCTTCTCGGGCCTATCCATCACCGCCATTGACATCCTCTTCACAACTTTTTTTTTTCCAGGTCCGGATGTCCCAATTCCTGCTGATTACACATCAGAGGACCCAGGAGAGGACTTGGTATCTCCCATTTCCAGGAAGGGAGGGGACGGCGAGGAAAAGACACCGATAACCACACACTCCCCCGAAACCCCATTCAGCTTGGCTCGCACTGCGGGACCAGCTATTGTTCCTGCTGGAAACGTCCAGCGAGACGGGAGAAAGTATTTCCTCAGCTATAAATCTCCAAGCCTCTTTACCTTGGCACCAAGTCCTCCTTTTTTTTTCCCCCTCCAGAAAGTGTCTTTTGTTAAATCGTCTTTGCAAAGAAAAAATCCACAACCAGCCACCCCAGCCTTTGCAGGTAGGGGCTAAACCGGCCTCCCATTGTATTCAGTGGGTCAGTTAGCTCTGCCCCTTCCAGTGGATTGATTTCTCAACTTTATGTCGCCTTGGAGGAATGGCGGCACGAAAGCCAACAGGGAAGGCCAAAGGGCATCAAATCCCTCTGCTCTCTTTCTATGGAGAGTCTCAATCGTCCAACTCACAGCTGTGCTTTTCCAAAAGACTTTCTGGGGCTTACTTTTTTTTCCCTTGAAAACATTTCGCTTCTCATTCAAGGAGGAGAACTGAAGAAGCTTCTGGGATGAGAAGCAAAACGTTTTCAAGGAACAGGAGCTCTGGTGGCTCAGCAGACTAATTAACATCCACTTACATCTGCTGCCTGCAATTACTGCAAGTTCAAATCTCACCAGGCTCAAGGTTGACTCAGCCTTCCATCCTTTCTAAGGTAGGTGAAATGAGGACCCAGTTTGTGGGGGCAATAAGCTGACTTTGTATAAATATACGAAAGTATGAAGGCTATTGCTTAACACATTGTAAGGCGTTGCCCTGAGTCTCCGGAGAAGGGCGGCATATAAATAAATAAAAAAAAAAAAACCCCAGGAAGTCCACTTGTCTTTTGAAAAAGCACCTTTGGGCCTTTGCTCTCTAGGGATCTTATGAGCAGGAGGAGAAAACGTGTCTCTTTCTCACTTTGCAGAGAGGATTACAAAACCCAGGGAAGAAACATGAACAAAGAGAGGGAACCAAGGGGAGGAAACTTGTAGCCCCCTCCCCCTTGAGTTTACTTAGGTCCAGGTCTCTCCCCCACTCTTGATTTTGAGAGGCTATCCCTGGGGTCCCCAGAGTGGGCATCTTCCCCTCTCTTGGTCACTCCTTCCACAGGCAACAGAGTCCACCGGAGTCCACCCCCTTGTGAAATATTGCTCCAACTTCTAGGAGACTTTGCAAGCCCTCCCTCCGATTTTCATCGCCCTCATTAGCTCCTTCGTCCTTGTTTAAAAATGACTTTGCTCCCCGTCGCTTTGGAAACCGCCAGAGGAGGAACACCCCCTCCCCCAAAGGCCCCCACCCACCCACCCACCCACCCGCTCGGCTCAGCTCGGCGCAGCAGCGTAACCAGCAACAGATGCTGAGCTGACCTCTGCAACTTCCTGGAAACATGCATTTGTCAAAATAAAAATAAAAAGAGATTAATGTGAGGAAAAGGATTTTCAAACTAGGAGGAAACCATCGCCGCCTTGGGCCCAAACGTGCTAGCTTGCATTTTCAAGGGTGGGCGAAGGAGGCGACCCCGTCTGTCGGCAGGGCTGGCACTGCCCACCCGCTTCAGGGGGGTGAGAAAGAGTCTGCCCGGCATGAACATCGGGGTGAATGCCAGAGGCTTCACATGGCAGGAGCTCTCAACCCCACTCCTTGAAAGAAGGGGAGGAAAGCATGCAAATCCTTTTGCAAAATTAAATAAAAATACACAATCCACACCTCATCGCACAGAGAACGTCAGACAGGATGCACCACGAAAGGACAATGTTTAGGAGAAGATCCTCCTAAACCCCGACCAAGCCGGACCGTTTCAGGAGATGGTCCTTCTGGGGAAGTTCTCAACTGTCACCTCCAAGAGGTCAAAATTGCTGGACGCTGCTGGCCACCCTTCTCCTTGCACTGGATTCTCCGAGCCTGCAAACACACAGCAAGTTCAATAGAGATTGTGGGAACGTCTTCTCTGTGGCCGGCAAGAGATCTTGGAGAAGGTTCTCCATAGTCATCCTATGGCCAATTCAACGTGGGCTTGATCAGCGGGCAGTCCTTGACCCGAGGACCTGCTCCGGGCTTTCTCCTTCCAGGGCTGAGGTGATGGTGACCACCGTCAAGGCTGCATCACTCAGACGTCCCAAGTGGTGGAACAGGATGCGTCCCAAGTGGGCTCCCCCCTCGTCTCCTTCCACAAAATTAAGACCAGCCTGTCAACAGCCCACCGATGGCACGTCCATTACTCAAACCCCATTCCCCAGGACACGCTAATGGATAAGGAATGCCCCGGGGTTAAATCTTGGCATCCACCAAAG